CAGTTACCGTTTCTACTGTACAATCACTGATGTTACCAGAAAGTTCGAATGAAGTGTCATCGGCATCTGAAAATACAGAAACAAACGCAACTGCAATACAGTTAGAAAAAATGAAAATATCTGGATCACATTCGTCTGCAGGGCAAAACACTGAATCTCCTGATTCACAACAGGAAAACGTAGCATCAACTGAGGATACAAAGACGGATGCAAGTAGCTCAAGTAATAATACTTTAAATCAAAATAGATAATTATAAATTTTTATTTCTTTATGAGTTGTTACATACAAAAATATTGTAAATAAAGGAAAAAATAATTTTTTAAATTAAGTATATTTATTGAAGTGTATCTTTTCCTTTTATGATAACTTTATACCTGTCTTGTAACACCTCTGCCATCTAAAAAGACTGCCATCCTCTGACCGAAGTAAAGTTGGCGCGGAATATTAATATTTCTTAACAATTTATGTCTTAAAAAATTGCTCCCTTGGAATCTAAAATTGCTCCAGTCGCAAACATTATATTTAATGAGATATTCGCAAATAAAAAAGCAGAAATTTGTTATCTGCAAAATAGATAGTAAATGATCTTTTTACAAAGATATTATGGCACCAAAAAATTGCTCCCGATTTGTTTTATAAGATTCAATGGTCAGATATATCAATAACAATTTATTAACAAAGAGCAATTGAAAATAAATGTTGTTGCGTATCTGCCGGTAAATTATGTCATAAATGACCCTGAATGACCCTTGAGTATTTCCACCGAGTGAAAGTAAATGTCAGCAACATCTATCGCTTGTATGTAAGTAAGTACCTATAGGTGGAGCCAAACCCGACTGTCATGTATGACGTCATAGCCTACCTATACAATGTATGCAACAACATTATTTCAATTGCTCCTTGTTAATAATTTGCTATTAAAATATCTGACCATTGGATATTATAAAAGAAATCAGGAGCAATGTTATGATACCATAATATTTTTATGAAAAGATCATTTACTACCTATCTATGAAAAAATAAATCTTATATCGTTGATTTATGAATATCTAATCGAATATAAGATTTGCAATGGGAGCAATCTTAGATTCGGAAAGAGCAAATTAAAAGCAATTGTTTGTGCTAGAAATTATTAAGAAATGTTAATATTCCGTTTGAGCCTTAACGTTAAAAATTATATGTATGTATATTTAAGTATTTACATACTATCCACCGATGAACAAAAGTCTCGCGGGGGGCTCAGGGGCAAAGGGGGAACCTCGTTCGCTCCGCCAGTTCCCCACCATTTGACGCTTTCGCAACGTCAACGTTTGGGTTGTGACGTCGTACGCTTCATAGGCGCAGGATTTCTGTATTTACGAGGGTCGGGTTTTCTGACCTACCGTTATAACCTACCGTTAATCATTTCGTACTTTATTTAATATATTTAATATATCATTTCGTACTTAAAAAAAACCCAAGTGGTTTAGTTAAATTTCGAAAAAATTATTCTGTTTTAAAGCATATACCACTACTTTTCCGATTTACTGTATGTCTACGCTAATGCTCGCCTCGCAGTATTTCACTCAGTCTCGATATGTCTCATCGACTTTCTTCGTCATATGGTCTGAATTAGTGTGCGTGATCGTTTTACCAAAAATGTGTGTGAAATAAGGCGTCTCCCTTCCATTCTGACCAATCAGATTTGCGGCCTTCTCATGAGACTTTTGTTCATCGGTGCACAGATATACATAGCTTTGAAAATACATTTACATATTTAGAAATCATAATACAATACAGTGAGTATAATAAATATAATGTAATGTAATGTATTATATGATTGTTTTGGCCCGATCGCTGATTGGAAGCCGGAATGTCGGAACTACTCAGCGCAGAGTGCGGAACGTAAGTACAATAAAACCTGGATAAATGCAACGAAAGAATGCTTGGATAAGTGCAACATCGCTATCCCCTCCACTTGGGGGGATCCCCCTAGACGAACCGAGCCGCTCGACGAGAAAACCGTGTAATATGATCCGACCGTAATATCGGTGTGACTAATACTAATTGAACGATAAAACTTTTTTATTTTTAACTTTTTCTTAATGAAACTTTTACTAACGCATTTGTGAGATTTTTCTGATTAAAATGATACCAAACACGATATAGTTTGAATTATGTTTATAAACAATAGTAATAGAATAAACAACATAGAATTGACACCACGACTGAATATAAATGATGTCGGCTGAATATAAAAGATGTGTACGGACACAGAATCGACACCTCGCTTGGATAAATGCAACATTAAATGCCCAGAATCGCTACCTTGCCTGGATAAATGAAACCTTTGAAACCAGAGCCGACACCGCGACTGGTTTTGATTTCGATCTTTGTTGCTTTTCGCCAACCTTTAACATCAATTTTAGCAAGTAATTATAATTGAAACTATATCGTGTTTGGTACCATTTTAGTCAGAAAAATTTCACCAACGCGTTAGTAAAAGTTTCAGTAAAAAAAAGTCAAAAATAAAAAAGTTTTATAGTTGAATTAGTATTAGTCACACCGATACGTTTCGGCTCTTTCCTTTCATCATCGGACTTCTCTCTTTCCGCCACTGTCTGTCCCTTTCTACGTTCACGCTTGGCTGGTCGTCGTGTGTAATCCGAGATTCGACACCTCGCTTGGATAAATGCAACCACTGGGTCCCAATCTTAGTTGCATTTATCCAGGTTTTACTGTACTTTGCCGCGGATTCTGAGTTCCGGGCAAAGACGAGTTATGTTAGGTGAAAATAAATGATCTTTTTCACAAAACTTTGTTAATGTAAATTACACTTTATTTCACGAGACAAATAATGATGACGAAACAATACAGCGTACGAACAGGGACGCGAACGCGTTTAGATTTGCCACACGCGGCTAGAACTAGTAGCAGCGATACTACTACTACTACTACTACTACTACTACTACTAACATATAACATATTAAATAAAATTTCTATCTTTTCTAAGGATAAATTTTACGTTACGTCGTCGTATTGATGTGTAACAACGACGACGACGATGTAACGTAACAAAAGAATGCAAAACTGAACGCATCGAAAAATGTAAAATAAAAAATTTGTTAAAATGAAAATGTTGGTCAAATCAAAAATAATGAAAACATCTGCATATCTACAATATTATTTCCTTTTTTAAATATTTCAACGTTAAAAATTATATGTACATATGTATAAGCGACAGATGTCGCTGACATTTACTTTTACTCGGTGGATATATTCAACGGTCGTTTATGACGTCATAATTTACCAGCAGATAGACAGCAACATTTATTTTCAATGATATATCTGACCACTGAATCTTATAAAACAAATCAGGAGCAATTTTTTGGTGCCATAATATCTTTGTAATAAAATCATTTACTATCTATTTGGAAGATAACAAATTTCTGCTATTTTATTTGCGAATATCTCATTAAATATAATGTTTGCGACTGGAGCAATTTTAAATTCCGAGGGAGCAAATGGGGAGCAATTTTTTAACATATAAATTGTTAAGAAATATTAATATTCCGTGCCAACTTTACTTCGATAGATATAACTCCCATAAAGCCTTGTCTACACTCGTAGACAAAATCGTGCGACTGTCTATAGACAAATCGAGAACTTTGTCTATAGCACCGACGAGATAATTATTGTACTGTGGCAAAGCTAAATCATCTCATTGGTGGTATAACAGTTTTTTTTCGGCGGTACAATGGGTAATATCACTATTCTACATTATCCATCATTCCTATTTACCGATCGTACCTCAGGCCCACTGGGCCCACTTGGCGTACCGAACTTTAACACAGGGGTTGGCAGTCTTTAACAGTATCTCGTCGGTGGTATAAATAAACATAAGTTTGTTTAATTTTGTGATTGATCGCCTCTCTCTTCGATTTTCACAATTAAATTCAGTATAATATATATGTGTAAGTGCGTGAACTGCATAAACGGACTATAAAAAAGTTGCCTCATTAGCGCCTGATTTTTACAGTTTTTCTAAATTTACACGAGAATTCTGAATATTTCCAGAATAAAAAGAAGTCTAAATTATTACTCTATAAATTCTGAATCTGTCAATGAAAGTCTCGTTAAAATCGGTTTAGGACACGGGTAATGCAGCGAGGTGACATTACCGGCAAAAATGGGCCTAAAAAGGAGTCCGGGATTTTTCGCTTTTCGTCCTTATATGAGAATATTTGAGGCTGGGTGAGGGCTCATTCGAAAGAGAAAGGTTCAATGCAGCGCGCTCTGGTCATCGTTTGAATCACAAGACTCTTTTAGTGATCTAAAAATACTTGGATTCTGCAGGTGTATTTTATCGTATTTTTGCTAGTACTTTGGACACTCATATTATTAGATATTAACAAAATCTCGTTGAATCATGACTAGAGCGCGCTGCATTGAACCTTTCTCTTTCGAATGAGCCCTCACCGAGCCTCAAATATTCTCATATAAGGACGAAAAACAAAAAATCCCGGACCCCTTTTTAGGCCCATTTTTGTCGGTAATGTCACCTCGCTGCATTACCCGTGTCTATCCCCTTAAACAGACAGATAGACAGACAAAAATTTTGCAAAAACGTGTTTGGGTTTTAGCAAGGTGCGAAAAACCATATATGAGTTAAAAAAATCCATTATATCGAAATCACAGACAGACACTTCAATTTTATTTATATGTATATGTATAGATGAAAATAATAAGGGAGCTATGTATGTAGCCCTTGGATCATGAGACAAGAATTTACACTGCTTGTCTATCTTATACTTCAACGCCCACGGTTATAACAGTAACAATGGAGTAACATTTAAACCCAAAAAAAAAGAGACTTTGTTTTAATCAGTCACTAAAACTCAGCTTTCAACGTTTTTGATCAATAATTTTGTTCATTTATATTAAAAATAAACATTTATGTTTAGAAAAGGTTTACTCTCTTTCCTCCTGGCAATTAAAAAATTTATTTCAGTGCCATGATGAATAAAAAGAAGTGTATTGAACATATTAAACTTGACTATAATTATATCGACGATACCTTGCATTCCTCCTCACTTTCTTTGCGATGGAATGGCCTGGATAAGAGCAGTTGTACAAGACCTTTCAAAACACCAGTCCATAATTTCTTAGATTGCAATCCTTTAAATTCATATCTGTGAAAATATTTAAAAGAATAGATTATCCATGAAATAGTTTTTGAAACAGACTAATCGTCAGAAATGCAAGACTGTTTGCCGTTATTCTAAAGCTTTCTTATTTGAAAACCATTTACAACACTTTTCCTGAAGTATCCTATACACGTATATCGTTCATCATCACTGACATCCTAACGTAGCAGTGAAATTGACGACTTGTACGTACGTTTACATTTCTCAAAGAGGATCCGTATCTTCAGGGGACGATTAACGTTCCATGGTAATCAAACAGGTGTATCAAGTGATTCATGATCGACAAAAAAGTTCCATGTGTTCCTCTACTGCTCCAGTAATGCATAATTACGAGAAACTACGGCTAAATGATTCATAACGGATTATACATTTTGTTTTTATGCTTGTTTTTATTATGAATGCAATAAAACCATCATTTGTGAATATGTTTAATATGCAAACCGAATTTCTAAATCTTATGAATATTCTTTTATACAGTTTATGAAATATTTTAGTTAAAATTTGTAAAACTTACATCCCTTTGAATACTTTTGTACAATTTACTTTTCCCACTTTTTAGCCATTATAAAATTACAGAACAACTTAACAAAGGTAATTTGTAAAGAAATTCAAAACTTTCTTCTTTAACTTTCATCCACAGTGAGAGCCGTCCAAATTTCCGTCTCGATTTAAACAATAAAAAAATTTCTCTCGTTCACGAAATTAGTTCAACGTCGAGAGGTAAAAAATAGAGGCAAAAAGAATATACGAGTTAGTAATTGTCGGGACAATAAAAAGACGAACGTTTCTAATTGGCACGAAAGACGATCGAGTAAGGAAGAAACATACCCGATCGCCGAGAGTAACTTTCGTTAGTGAGAGCGATATTCATCTGTTTAAGAGCTGCCAGTTTCCATTCGTTCATTTGCGATCCTAACGATAAGTGTATTCCCCTTCTTCGATGGCAATCGTCAACGATCACTTTCTTCTGGGTTCCTTCGAAGGATTTACTCGGCTGATGCAGTGCGAGGATTACTCGTCAGCCTCCTCTTCGTCTTTTCTTCCATCGCATGAGATATTTTCTTGAAGAAGAAGAACGACGCATCCTTTCCTACGAAAAATTCTCCACTTTCTTTACAACAGTATGTGTGTATAGTTATTCATGTATAGTAATGAAGAATAGAAAAATCATTGGATTGATAGATGCTGAGACGTGTTTAACCTTGTTGAACATGAAGAGTGAGATATGGTGAAGTAAATGAAGTGCTGAGGGTTGTATACATGGTGTGTTTCGTTCAGTGGAAATGAATCTTCGTGCTGGACTGGCGATCGTTCTTTTCCTTCTTGCGGAGGTCGACAGTGCGATGCTGATGATCCCGAGGGAGAACCATTCTGGTAAGTTACCATTGTTCAAGGGTTAATCATTGCATGATGTTGTCTCAAGCTTTTCCCGCCTAAATAGTGACTTACTATCAAACGAATAAATTGACAGACTATTTATAAAATCGGTAGAATATTAGTTAATTTATAAAATCAACAGGTTATTCGATTATCCGTGAAAAAAACAAGTAGGTGGGAAACTTGAGTTTTTCAATAACAGCCTGCGGATGTCCAGCAGCATCGCACAGGCAACCACGGGCGGCCCTATTGGAAAGTAGCAGGGTCAATTCTACCCTCGATGGAAGAAAAATTGTCGCGACCACAACTGGTCGAATATTCAATGGTAAACCAAGTAAGAGAGGATCCTGGCCATGGCAGGTTTCTCTTCAGCTGCTCCATCCGAAGCTAGGATTTATCGGTCACTGGTGCGGTGGTGTTCTCATTGAACCTAGCTGGGTCGTCACGGCCGCTCATTGCATTCATAAGTGAGTTTCACTTTTCATTCAACATGTGTACGCTTCGTAATGAGACGAAGAGAAGCATTTAAAGGTGTTACCTGAAACGTACTGCAATTGACTAATTAATAAAAATAAAGAGAAGATAATAACTTGAAAACTTATATACAATTGCAATGAGTATTTGTTTCAACATACAAATAAACAGCAGCTGTAGTAGGTCACCTGAAATGTAGTGCAGTTGACTAATTAATCAAAATAAAGAGAGGACAATAACTTGAAAGCTTATATACAATTATAATTAGTATTTGTTTCAACTTATATCAATTGGTGCCTTATGAATAACAGTTGTAAGACAATGGAGGTCATCTGAAATATAGTGCAATTGATTAATTAATAAAAATAAAGAGAAGATGATAATTTGAAAGCTAATATACAATTATAATGAGCATTTGTCTCAACCTATTGATAAACATATTTAATATTGATGTCACAGTGAACTTTTCAACTTGCCAATTGGTGCTTTATGGACAGCAGTTGTAGGAGAATGGGAGTTGGATTCCGGTGGAAGAGGTTCGGCTAGATTACCTGTTGAACGAGTGATCCTCCACGAAAGATTTAATAATTATATGCACGATATTGGTACATAAATCTTCTTTTACCTTGCATCCATATTGACATTCCACTTATTGCTCATAACTAAAGATATTAAAGAAATATAATTTACAGCTTTGATGAAACTCGCTAGGCCAGCTCCTTTATCCAAGGTGGTGCGAACGATTTGCTTACCAGATCCAGAAGAAGAGCTTGCGAAAGGCCAGTGTATCGCTTCTGGTTGGGGTCGCTATGGACCCTCCCAATCACTTTCTACATCGCTTTTAGAAGCCTCGGTACCATTGCTCGATCTTGAGAAATGCACGCAAGCTTATGGGAAATCGGTACCACTTCGAAGCGGCCATCTTTGTGCTGGTCACACCGATGGCTCTTCCGGAAGTTGTGTAGTAAGTACCGAAAAAGACGTTTATACATTCGGTGGTCATCAGAATCCACTCAACTAGATTAGAACTTATACAATTTCTAGGTAATGGATTCTGGCTAACTATTGATGGGATTAGTTGAAGTGATCGATCCTTGTGCTAGAAAATCAACATAAAAATCATTTATTCCCTTGTTTTGTTAGGGTGATTCAGGAGGACCATTGCAGTGTCGTCGTGCAGACGGTGTCTGGCAATTGGCAGGCGTCACCTCCTTCGGATCAGGATGTGCCAGACCAGGCTTTCCTGACGTATACACTAGGATACAGTACTACGTGAAGTGGATAAGGAAGATCATGAAGAGTCATAGCAACGATGATGACGACGACGCGCAATTTTTATAATTCATCAAAATCCACCAGTTAGAAAATATATATATATATAACTCCTGTCACCTAGAAGATTTCCAACAAATTATTTATTATCACTTCTAGATCAATACTGAAGAAGTGATCTTTAGTAAAGATATTTAAAAAAAGGCATTAGAAACGTGATACAAAACCTGTTGCATATCTCGACTAGAAAATAAAGAAAGTCTGGATATTGTAGTATACAGAAGAATATCCATCCGTTATAATAGAAATGGAGAATACAGAAGAAGTAACTTTGATGAAAAATATTATTTGCCAGAGGCTAAGGTATACATATATCTGGCTGGATATCTTCTTCCTGTTCTCGATACACGTGGAAATATCTGCATTTAAATGAGTCTCATGGTTGCAATCGTCGAAACTGCGTTTCGCGTCCTCTTTTTCTTCATCTACGTTACGCAACCCTCTTGCGATTGTGCGTAGCGATTGCATCTTCTCTAGAGGATGAAATTAGAAATATCGATTTACCAGGACACACATAGAACGTATTGTGGCAAGTAGTAGAGGCAGAGTACACAATTGATGCCTAGTAGCATCCATTAATTAGTTTAATACGAACCACTCAGCATACCGAAAGCATACTCTGATCGAGTTTCGTTTGCAGACATGTTTGCTAGCTCAACCGAATCTTTGTTACCTTGATCATGTTGTTTTCAGAGAATTGGTGAATCTTTAGTGCTGTTATTTAGCTAGTCAAGTTTTTGTACCTACAAAATGAAATTCAGTATCAATAAAGAAAATTTAATAGAAAAAATGGATTATTTTATTATGTTGAATAATAATTACCTTGAATTTATAGACAGAAGAAGAAGAAGGTTCGTATGAGAAGGTGGTGAATGACCACTGGACACCAATATGTTAGGCAAATTGGTGTATACTTTGGCGAGATGTTCCAGATGGACGAGGAAGAAACTTATCCATCAGCGACAGCACATTGGTAAACTTTGACAAGCAAACTTCAGCCTTTCAGAGACGAATTAAATTCGGTTACTGAATTTTCTGAAAATCAATTGAAATACAATTGAAATAGCGACAAATTCCATATTTATGTTTATAAACATTTTTTGTCCCTCAATTCTTCTATTCAATTATTTTCCACAAAATGAGTTAACTCTCACAATTATCCTACTCCACTTGATTAGCAGTTAACTAATTACATTAGACGCCTAATATAACGTTACCGTGTAACAGGTGTGCTTGTCAGTGCACATGTTCGACCAAATATTCAACCGATGTTTATGCCGTCTGATTAACCCGTAAATTGCATGAAATGAAATTTTCCCCGCGATATTTTGCACATCCTGACATGGGAAAAACAATAAAAAAAACCTACAGAGGAAACGTTTTGGAGGCCGCGTGAAAATAAAGTCATATCTTCTAACGTAATTTTACTCTCAACTATGAAATCGCTCTGTTGACGACATTAATTATTTCCATTTGTGCCATTAGTTGATTAAGCATGGTAATCTCATGGGAGAGTATAATAGGTGCGCCCTTTAACGTTAAGGATTACTGAATACTCTACTGGTTTCTGTGAAGCTATATAGCTTCAATGTACAATATACAGTGTCCCACCTTAAGTGTTATAATTCCGTTATTCCGTTACTATTAATGATACAAAAAATTGCACGGTAAAAGGGAGCCTATGTTTTGGCCGAAGTGCAAAATCTTTTGCATTGTTAGTTTAAGAGATATGATGGTCAAGTTTCGTTTTTCAAATGGAACTATATATTTTTTTTTACTTCATGTGATAGTGCTTCTCAAGACGAATTTATTAAGCTTCAATGTATACACTCGATTTTAATTAGTTTTCAAGATATGTATAACGTTTACAAATTTCCCGATTTTCAGTAGATGCGTCTCGGTTTGAGTAGCAAGTCGTAAAAGCGGCCCCATTGTTGCGGTTATTCTTTGGGTCTGCCGTTCCTAGCGTAGACCCCCCCCCCCCCGCTATGACACTTACCGCAACAATAGGGCCGCTTTTACAATTTGCCACTCAAACCGAGACACATCTACTGAAAATCGGGAAATTTGTAAACGTTGTATCTTGAAAACTAATTAAAATCGAGTGTATACATTAAAGCTTAATAAATTCGTCTTGAGAAGCACTATCACATGAACTAAAAAAAAATATATAGTTCCATTTGAAAAACGAAACTTGACTAAAACTTCGGCTAAAACATAGGCCCCCCCCCCCCCCCCTTTTATCGTGCAATTCCCTTATCAACAATTTTTTGTATCATTAATAGTTACGGAATAACGGAATTATAACACTTAAGCTGGGACACCCTCCCTGTATGTATATTGTATATTGTGTATTGAAAAATACTGAAGATTTTAGATTTCGTGTTATAACACTAAGAATGCAATTATAGATTAATGAGTGCTATTTGTTTTATCTAACAGAATTCCTTTATGAAGATGGCTAGAATCTTCAGATCAATTTACTTGGCCCTTCAATCGCTTCCAATACACCCTTACACAGTACGTAATACGTACTCATCATACATGGGTGTATAATGGAGGGTTGTTAAATTAAGAAGGGTTGCTCGCATGCATCACTTTCCATTCTAATCAATCAACAATCTACTTCCATCTAGTTTCCTCAACTTTCTAAATAATCATTTCATTTAATTAGGTACTATACTCTTTAATAACTTCTTAAACCGCTAAATCTAACTTACAATTAGACTTAATTTCTTTTCTATCTACATTTAAATTATACTATCTATCAATCCTATACTTAAAAATATATACTTAGAAATAAAGTTGAAGAAGGAATGGTATATTAAAAACAGTTAAAATGAACGCAAGAAGAGTCTCGTTAAAACACCCACGCTTCAAGAACCGCCTACAGGGACGTGACATGCGCGAACCACAAAGAGGCACCGCTTCCATGCGAACAGGGAGAGTGCGCGTTCCTGATCAGTAGCACACTTTCATCGTGACGAGGAAAGTGAGCGAATGTCGGGCCGATCGTTTCCTTCGAGGTTCGTCCACGTTGTTCGAAGGAAAGCCAAAGAGCCAGGGAGATCCATCGCGAGGAGACGCCGAGAGAAAGGGAGAAACCTAGCTCGCGAAGAATTGTTTCTTTTTGCATAAAGACGAGCGAGTGGGGTGCTCGTTAAGGATCGAATCGTCCGAGAAAGTGGCAGCGATTCAACCAGAAGGATGAATTACACGGTGCATGACCCTTTGTGACGTTCATCTTGAAACGAATACACGGATGTATTTGTACCTGACGATCTATTGATCTCTTCTACCTTATAATTGATTTTGAAAGGTAACAATTTTTGGACGAGGTAAACGATGAGCGACGGGGTCGCGTGTTCCTTCACGAGGGGAGGATGAAGGCGGATGAATCACTGAGAGGGCTGCGACGTTTTCAGTGAAAGGGGAGAGACGATCGAACGGACGAAAGGGAGCAAAGCTTTGTTCGAAGTAAGAACGCAGTATGTTATGGACTCGTAGAAGTGACTCACACGTTTCTTCACAAGGGAATAATATTTTATGGGTGTAGAATATTTATACCATTATTCGTTCAATGATATACATCATATAACCATAATAAACTGAATTTTCATTTGGAAACAGTATACAGATTTTACTACGTTTTTTAATATTTAAAAGTATATGAACAAATGTGTGAGTTATTACATTTACTGCTTTATTTAGGGGTTGAATTGATTCAAGATGGCTTTCAAGGTAGCTGTTGTTAATTTGGATATTATTTGATAGATGATTCGATAAGAAATTAAATTAATCAGTAATCATTCTCGCTAATATGAAAATTATAATCTTAAATCAATTATTTTATACAATTTATGAATCGCCCTGTATACAAGATTTTACAAATTAATGCGTGAGTTTACCACATGAAAATTAATACAATAAAAACATAACAGCAACGAGTCTTCTCTCTCGCGATCAGTTTCACGCTTTCTTGCGTCGCTATAGAACTATACATATTTTACGATATCGATTCACTCTACGTGCTTAGAACTTGCTATGCATCATGAATTAAGTAAATCGATATCAGTTCCATCGTGAATCAATTCTGAACGACAAATTTTAATATACATACATACATACATAAAAATAAGTCAGCGATTTCTAATTGTCTGAGATTAACCTTTCCACTTGTTGAGAATTGACTGAAAATCAAATTTTTAAATATGTAAACTTGACCTCCAATTCTATGTAGTTATCAAAATGTATAATCTTCTAAATAATGCCGCTGTTTCACGCTCAGTTTCCTGCCTTTTCACTCGAATGCCAAAGAGACTTAAAAAACGCAGCAACGCGGTTAGCAGTAATATACACAACAAAATATGTCCAGCATGCGATCGAGTGAAACGTTCATTTCCGTTCTGAAACAGGTTTAACCGATCCTCTAAAAGGCCGTGATGAGTAGAAACAACGAGAACGGTATATCCTTGGCGACACCTCCGGCGATTCACGTTGGTCCTATCGTCAATCCAGGTACCAACGAGACGATATCGATCGTGATACCGTTATCAGCACAATTAGCCACAGTTACCAGTCAAAAGATCGAGAAATCTTGCAAGGACTGCAACAAAGATACGAAACACTCGTCTAATACCGTTTCATCCCGTCCAAGAAATGACAAGACAAAGGGATGTCCTTATTCTGGTTGCATTAGGTATGGCAGAGCCTTCTCCAGAGCTCACGACCTGAAAAGACACATAGCTCGTCATGAAATGAGAAAGGAGAAGCTGTCTGATTATGAAAACATGGGCAAACAGCAACGCAATAGTAAGGAGAGCGGGGAAAGTATAGCAAACGGATCGACCGATAGGCAACAGGCAAGTTGGGCCGATAATTCGCGTGAAACCAATGCCAAGTCCTACTCTTGCACGCATTGTAAGAAGAAGTACACCAGCGAGTTGAAGCTGAAGGCTCATATGAGCTCGCATGAGAAGGTATATTGATTTACAAGATTGTATCAGATATTTTAGCTTTGAGACTATTCCACACTCATCTATATAGTCCACACCTAGAAAATAAACAAATTTAGTATACACTCTACTACTTTCTATTACTCTAATATAATGTTTGATGATTATACTTTCAGGTGACTGACAAGAACGTGTGCACACTTTGTGGAATGGGCTCTCGTGACGAAGAGGAACTGCAGGAGCATATGAAGCAACACACGACTACTATGTTGGAGGCTCAGATGGCTCTAGAAAAAAGTGAAGCACCAAGGAAGGATCAAGTGGACAAAGAAGACGACTTCCTGCTAGAGGAGATGCTGCTTCTTAATAAAAATCCAAGGAGGACTGCACAGTCTGATAAGAGTACCTCAAATGGAGGGTCCAAGATCAGATGCGACTATTGTTCAAAGACGTTCAAGACCAAGTGGACGCTCAGCTCGCACGTAGCAGCCCACGAGGGTCGTTTCCAGTTCGACTGTGGCCAATGTGGCAAAAAATTCGTCCGGAAGAGTCATTATGAAGGTCACGTGAGATCTCATGAAGCTGCTAGACCCTACGTCTGCGAACAATGCGGGAAGACGTTCAAGGAACTGAAGCACAGGAGGGAACATACCAAGAGGAAGCATCCTTCGAATCAGAATGCTATACAGACCCTTTTGGACAGCATCAGTCCTTGTGGATCCGAGGAGTTGCCAGTCGACCAGACCAAGTTCACGCTTCTGATGCCAGTCAATTTTTCAGTGTAAAATGAGACGCTTGATGTTTGATGATGATCCTTGAGGAATTTTCTTGTATTCGCAAGGAACTTGTTCTTTCTGTTGGGAAGATGAAATTGTATTAGTACAGATACAGCTGAGATAAGCTTTTTTCCTAATATTTAAATAAAAATGATCACCAACACAGATAATTGGAAAATTGTGAGGCTCAGCTTGATTCAGGACTACTGAGACACTAAACATAAGGTATTCCAGGATCTCAAGGTAGCAATTAAGAGTTAACAGGTTGATTGGTTCAATAAAATTGAAAATATCTAAGTGTTAATATCTTAATATCTTAATTGTTCAATTATATTGAATCTGTGATGCGAGTCAACGTGTTAACTAAGCTGTTATTCATTACAATCATTTATCATTCCTCAAGTTTCTAATTCTCGTTCGTGAAAACAGGGTTTGAAGGATTTCAATGCAAAACTAGGCCATCGATTTACTAGATGATGAAGTACAGTGTTGAACCGCGAGTTTAATTGTCGTTTTATAACGGACAGACCAAAGAGATTGTGTTATGTGATGATATACACTGTGGGACAAAGTTATGGGACTTAAAGGATAGAATTAATAAGATAGCAGTTATTCTTCACTTTGAACGTTTTGTTTGTAATTATATTAAATTATCGAGTCACTTGTTTATGTTAAGATTAATATTTTCAATTTTTGTACTAAAACACTAGTCCAACATAAGTCCCTCATTATTTTATTCCACAATTGTAGCGCAAATTGATATTGTACAGTTAAAACTGCATTAATTGTAACACTAAATGAATTGTACACTTAAGGAAACTCCAATATATGACATATATATATATATATATATATATATAATTTTAACAGCAAATGATCATTGTAACTCTATTAGGTTGTTTCGTAAATCTTTGCATTCTTTATAACAAATCTTTTTATCAGGAATATTGCAAAGATTCACGAAACGAACTAACGCTAATTTTCTTTTCCCAAAGCGAAAACAATCTTAATTACCAAAAAGGAGGTACAATTATACAATGTATACATATACACAATGACTATAATAAATCTACCAAGAGATCTTCCTTATTTTTCATAACAGAAATTAGATATCAAATATTTGAAACAATACACGGATCGTTTCGAAATTGAAACACCCTATACAAATATATGAATCGAGAATCGAAGGAGTCAAAGGGACAAAGAGTTTGTTACTTGTTTCGTTTCACCTTGTCTGACATTTTAACTTTTATTAAATTTTTTACTCGAAGGAAATGTTTTTATTTAGCAACAAGTGCGATGCAACGAACAAGGCGTAATTAAATGATCACAACACAGAGTGAAATTGAAATTAGAGGCAAAAAGTTCCGTCGACCGAAAGGAGAATCCTCTTTGTCTCCTGTTACTTTCCCTAAATGATTTTAAATGAACGTGAACAAGCGACCAAAGTTGCCGGCTACAAGATGCGAACATCAAGAGGAACCACTAAAGGATATCGAAAAGTCATCGTTCATGGAACAGAACCAAGCTCACATGTTGGATACACTTCCACCGGAAGTACTGGAAATGATACTGCGGCCGTTGCCCCTTCACGATGTGGCCACCTCTGTACGCTTAGTCTCCAGGTGATTTCTACGGTTTAAAATTCTTATATTAAGGTTTCTATTCTTCAGAGATTCCACTTTAACATATTTACTACAAAGTGAGGGACGTAGGAAACGCAGTAAATATAAATATGATCTATCTTTCAGACACTGCTCGACAGTTGCAGCTACAGTTCTAAATGGCGCCTTTCTCGCAGCTGGTACAAGGCTAGAGACCCTGACAAAACGTATCGAGGGTACCCTGAAAACCGTGAAAACAAATCAGGAACTACTGGCTCGTAGCAAAGCTTTGAACGCTTTAGAACTGATCAGGGCGCAATACAAGATGCTACGTGCTGTCACGTGGAGATATACTCATCCACCGACGAACCAACAGAGGTTTCCAAGGCTGTGCTTTTACGCCGGAAGTCTGCTGGACAATCTGAACGAACTTCTCGGTCGAATTGGCAAACTTCATTCATCCATTGTCAATCCTCGTACACCTGACTCGAGCATGGCCTGCTTCACAGCCGCCTGTAAGCGGTTCATGAACTTTTTTGAAAAGGTCTCTGAACGCCGGGTGAACAGGTAAATTATTCTACAAGAAGTGAATCTAGGTTTCTGGAAAGTATGTTAAGAGAATGTGTAGTACCTTGTATGTAACAGGGTAAATTCGGTAACAATAGAATGTATGAGTAGAGGACATTGTGAGGTCATTGGCATTGTTGAACTGTGCTTATTCTTACCTGAACGTACACCTGGGTGTAAAGTCGGCTTTTCTTGGTCAAGGGTAAGTGTAAAAAGAAGAGTCTTCCATCACTTGCCTCTGGTCTTAGGAGAAACCAGGAAGGTTCTAGGTAGAGCCAGGGATGATAAGACACTTCTTCTTCTCCTACATTTTCTCTTAACTAAAACCCAGACATGTGACTGTACATTTTCAAAGACGTTGTAAATGTATCTGATGTAACAAAATCATATTGGTAGATCGGCTTTAATCTCTGGCTGCAAAGTCGTAGACGTTCTGGACTGCCTCATCGAAGGTCGACAGGTGCTATCTCTCAAAGTGATGCCGCACAAAACAGGCACGAGACGTACCATCAATATGAAATTAAGATACATGATGAAACGTGCTTGGTTTACATGTTTGGAAGTGACGAAGAACGCGGAGGAGAACTCCTGGAGGGACGAGCAACGTTTTATGTACCTCAGGCTACGACGTTTGGTGGGCAGTGTGAACGAGCACCTCTTCGAGAATTTGCATTACGAACATGAATTGACGTTACAGGTGATTCAATCATTCTCACATACACATACAGACAAATTAGTACACACATTTCCATTGATATCCTTTTTCCCTTCTTTAGATACCTCTGATTCTTCCTTTAAGACCACCTCCTGCTTCCACCTATTCAGGATATGGAGAATATGGTGGTCAGTTTTTTTACTATGGGAACATGAATAAATACGCATACGAGAGTAAATTTATGAATACGGCCAGCTCAGCAAATGTTACCGTTGAAACCGAACAAAGGGCACGGGGACCATCGTCTTTGGACTTGGTGATCGAGATTGAATTAAAATGCACATCGGAATTAGCACCACTCGCAGTTAGAACAGTCTTAAAATCGGACGAGTTTGAAAGTTACGAAGCGAAAACGTACAGAAATCAACAGATGTACTTGAAAATGAGCATCACGTGTCCTGCATCGATAGCTAATAGACTACCCGGTATCTTTGTGTGGGAATTACGTACCCCACGACGTGCACGTCAAAATTCGTGAACAATTTCTGTCAAAATGTTATAGTATTAAGTACTGTAAGCTCACACATACTATACACACGCATATACACATGTACATTTAAAATATACATTCTTACACGTCTCATATTAATTTATAATCTGCTAACTGTATGCAAATAAAACATTGAATAGTAGCTATTCATAGAAAGATAATAATTATATTTTACATATGCGTTAGCGGTGATTCATAATTCATTTGAACGAATATATAACACAATGATTTTTATATACAGGTATCGAGGAATTACAAAATAAAAACATACAGAGTATGTATTTTTATTATACACTATGTTCTCGAGGTATCAAACTTAATTTTTAGCAGATATTTCCGCGACATCCTCATCCTCGGTTTCGTTCGACAAAAATGACCACGTTGTCGTATTCAATTTTCTAGCGCGCTTTTCTAATATACCATAAGCAAATTGATTCAACAAAACGCCTTTAGGGAGTGCTACACCTTGAAATCTATAAAGATTTTCTTTATCTGGTACTTTATGAACGGCAGCGATCGTACAACGTCCTATTAACGACGTATTGCCTATCATTGGCCCTTTACTAATGTCTATGTGATTTCCAACTCTATACAGTGTAACTTCATTGTTATTAGATTTCGCGATATCTGGTATTTGTTCGGATTTAAATGGATTATCCTGGAACATGTCGATCGCAACGTTTTCCGTAGTTACTATCCTTTCAATGGGTAATTCAAGATTTAATAACTTAATATACTCGGCAGATAATGCACGCATTTCCTGATCAGTGGGTTTCCAATCAGATAGTTCTAAATATACATCATATATAAAACTCCCTGACTTTATGATGGGCACTGGGAAACTGTGCAAGTGAACTTTTATATCCGATTGAAACGCAGAATCTACAATAGCACCCAACAAGAACGAACAAGTTCGCCAAAAGGCTGTGTTCACTATTCTGTTCTCTGGGCTGAGTAAATTAAAAAATTTTAATTCACAATTGGATGTTAAAGGCTTCTGCATATCCCATGGTGATCCATCGACTAATGCAAGGGCAGCTACTTTAGATACACCCTCAGAAACATGTTTTGCACAATCAGCAGGGGTTGATATACATTTGTTCATTATAAGAATAACTTCTTCTACTGGAGATTGATATTTAACTTCTATTTTTTCAATTCTTCCTACTGCAGCTCTTTGTTTCTTCTTTTCCTCTTCAAAAAGTAAATTTCTTCTATCCTTGGCTTTGGCTCTTGATAGTATACTTTGGTATCTTGATTGTATGTTTGGCGATAGACACAAACTTTTACACCTAAAATGTATATAAAATATTTTGTTAAGCACTCTGCTATTATAAACAGATAATGTTAAAAGTAACATATTTGTTACTTCAATATTAATATCAACAATTTATCGGATGTATTACATGCAAAAATCATTATAATTACATTGTGATCAACAAATGAACTTGTTTTAATATGACCTTAACCTAAAATTACAAAGTTCGTTAACATTAATATCGTTAGTTGAAATAGATGACATACGAACCTTTGAAACATATTGAAATATACAAGTTTCTCAAAGGAGTATATCACGCTGACAATTTATACTTGACAAAACAGTCACATGTATTCTCAGATTTGCGGTATTTATTTTTACACTTTTTGATTGATGAAGTGAAAAATACGATACACGACAAACCAGCAATTCATTACTAAAAAGTTAACAAAACTTAGCTACATATTATTAATTAAAAGTATTGTGTATCATTTATTTATATCAATATAATTTTGGAATTGAATTGTATGATAATTGCCACATTACCTAAGCGTATCAAGTCTAATTGTAAATAAAGCACATTGTTGTGCTTTACTATATAGACAGTTATTACTTTTACAATGCCGGTCAATACCTTCTTATATATTTTACTGTCATTTTTCTCTCAGAAAAAGATTAATCATTTAAAATATACAACTAGATTTTTATATAAACTTATAACACTCCGCTTCAGTATCAAAGGTATTCACAGACCCATTTCGGCTACCATGTTACTGAAAGGCGAATGCACATACAAATACGTTAAATTTATAATAAAATATTTTATACATATGTAATCTATATAAATATAAAAAGTTAGGTGAAATAGATCTTTATTTTGTATATTAATAAAACTACTGTATCCAATCAAGAAGATAAAACAATTCTTATTCAAAAAATATAAATTAATTGCCATACTTGTTCATTTACACATGCGCACAATACCCACGTGTGTATACCTTATCATGGTTAAAAATAATCATAATTTTGCATGTTTAAATCACTCTAAATATCATGTTTACTATTAATATTTCTTATTTTTTATGAATTATAAAGCTACAAACAATTGAACAATTTTAATATTGCTTTCATGATTACGTTCATGATTCTAATGCATCAACCTTATCACGATGTTGATGTTCTGTCCGACTTGTGGTAATGTTCTACGAGTGGAAGAAGCTTTAGCAGGTTTACGTTTTGCGTGTAATACCTGCCCATATGTATTTAATATCGCAAGAAGAGTGAGTAATCGTACATATCCAAAATTGAAAGAAGTAGATGACGTACTAGGTGGAAGCGCGGCTTGGGAAAACGTGGATTCCACAGAAGAACGGTGCCCAAAGTGTTCGCATTCCCGAGCTTACTTTATGCAAATTCAAACGAGGTCTGCTGATGAACCTATGACAACGTTTTATAAGTGCTGTAATCCTCAATGTTGTCACAACTGGCGCGATTAAAGGTATTTCAATTGTTTAAATTAAACGCAGTAACAATCAGGTGGATAATTTTTTTTTAATTCAAATGTCTTGATAATATATACTTTGACACATCTATAATATAATACTTTAGTGGTAACCGTTCAGATTTTTATTAACAAGAGTTAATACATTTTTTATTTTGAAAATATAGTTTAATTTTTTACTGGGTGGAAAACGCATGGTGAGCGTTGAGAGCTTGGGTCCAATGAAGTCTCTTTTAAATTCAACTTCAAATGAAGTGAAGGAATTAAATAATTCTAGTAAACATTGGAATTGTAGAGGAAGAAGAAGTATAGCTACAGCTGCTACATTATTACAAAAAGATTTCATTTTAGCAATTCCAACAGATACCATATATGGTCTTGCTGGTATTGCGTCACACAATGAGTCTATTAAAAAGTTATATGAAATTAAGAAACGTGACGAAAACAAACCTTTATCTATTTCTGTTAGTAGTGTCACAGATATAAAAAGATGGGGTGTTACAGATCATTTACCACCTGATTTATTACCCACCATATTACCTGGTCCGTATACAATCATCTTAAAACGAACACCAGCTTTAAATCCTGCTTTGAATCCAAATTTGGATACTGTAGGCATAAGAGTTCCAAATTTTCACTTTATAAGATGCATTGCAAAAGTAACCGGACCTTTAGCATTAACAAGTGCTAATGAAAGCAATGAACCAAGTTGTTTATATCCTAAAGAATTTGAAAATTTATGGCCTTCGTTAGGTGGAATATTTCATGACGGTTGCATGTATGGTAGAGCATATGATAAATTAAGAAAAGGATCTACAATAGTTGATTTGTCTCAACCAGATTGTTACAAAGTTGTACGTTTTGGAGTTAAAGCAAATCAACTTTTTGGTATCTTACGAAAATTCGGGTTAAGAAAGGAACAATCTAATTAAATGTATTGTAATTAGTTTAAATAAAATTTGTATATTGAAATAATGATAAGTAACTATTGTAATTATTTTTTAAAGTTTCGAATAAATTAACTTATTATTGTCTTTCAGTTTTTAATACTTTAGTGTTCAATATAGTATCAAAAAATAAATAATTGGTACCCTCTTAATATCCCGCGTAAAACACGAATGCTTGTTAACGTATCTTTTTATTATTCACATAGTTATTACTGTATACAGTGAATTCCCAATTGAGAACTCCACTTTATTATAAACAGATCCACAATGTGGGAATATATTTTAACAAATATCAATCGATATTTTATATCCTGAGATACTGTTACGATTAAATGTGTTTAATAATATACTAGTGAGCATATCACTGCATGTATCCTAACAATATCGTATTGTCTTCTTGACGAGATGAATATCACATAATATTGTTTTAAAATATTATCGTTTTACTCTTTAAATAAATGTTACAAATATTTTAACATCAGTATTAAACGCGATCAAGAGGCAACGGTACTCAATCTTTAAACTAAATAAATAATTAACTTCATTTAAAGCACTAAATTTTTCATTAATGAACTAAAGAGACAAATCAGTCGAGACGATAACATTTTAAGATCTGCATGTTATCATCGTGTAGTCTGCATGCATCTTAAAATGTATATCATTACATTTTTCTTCACATTATAAATGTATTTACATAATATTTTGACATTTTTAAGAGATTTGTGACAATGATCAGTAGAGTCATTTAATAAGATTCCATAAAATGCATTTGAACGCCATTACTAAAACGAAGACTACTACAACATAACACAATGAACATGTTATTGTATTTATGAGTTTCTGTATATATATTATACATTTCTAGTAAAATTACTAGCAACTTTAATCAATCAAAGTAAATTAATTAGGCACATGGAGCTGCCTATAATTGCAGTATTTCTCATTTACAAATGAAAATGTAAAAAGTTTCTATAGAAATATTGAAGTTTCTTTTGCTGTTCAGGCAAAGTTAAGAAAAATATATTACAAAATTTTGCATTGATAGAAAAGAATTTCTTCTCATATTGACGTCCGTGAGTTTCTAATTATTAACTATAAATAAAATGAACTCAAGAAAATGTATGTATACATATACATATATGCACATATATACGTGTATGTATATACATACAATATCAATCATAGTGTCCGTTCGTCTAGTGTATTTTGTAATTTCAAATAAATTCTTGAAATTCTAAATTATTGAATATTCGAAAGCTTTTATCAGATGATTATTTTATTAAATAATTAGATTTATGATATTTGCTGCGGTTAAACTTGGACTCCAAAGTCAGTGCTTTTTCACTAGACGAACGGACACTATGATTGATATTGTACATACATACACTGATCGTGAGTTGCATCGAACTTGTCGCATTGAAGTTGTCCACACATTCACGCCGCGTCGATGAGCCAATCTCGCCCATCGGCTCACCGACGCGGCGTGAATGTGTTAGTGAATGTGTGGACAACTTCAGTGCGACAAGTTGGATGCAACTCATTGTCAGTATAGTACATGGACGTGTGTGTAACTAATACAATTGCTACAACGAGAATTCTTGTATTTCTTGAATACTCATCTACGTTTTTATCACAAAACTCAGCTCGCACAGTGGTGTGTATACATTCGATAAATGATTATTAAAATAGTAATCGTATAATAAATAATTAATATAACTATACGTACACACGCTCATGCATAAATGTATAATAATATGATATATTCCTAATTTTCCACTAATCAAATATTATCCAATTAAATTTTCATTGTATTTCACGTATGATTTAGTTTTTTTAAATATTACTGCATGATTTTACAATTTTAAATAGAATTTTACTCATACATACACGCACGCACAATGCACGAGTAAATCGCATACAATCATTCATTTATTTATTTACTTTTAACACTAATAAATTGTAAATCTCTGTCTGATTATAACGTAAGTCAGTCTAATCTTCTTTTGTAGAAAACATTCCTATAAAACTTTTCTTACCTTCGCTTCTAAAGATTCCTATCAGACTGCTTTTTAATCTTGAGTAAATTTCTTTACGTACCGTCGCCGTAAATTTAGTGGCTAAACAACTGATAGCTGCCGTGGCAAATATTAAATTATAGAATAATACTAGCTTAAAATTACCAAGCCACTCGATACGCCCGAAATCGCCAAGCAAATCGAAATTCGTCATACCTAAAATAAACGGACAGATAATTGTATATTTTTAGTAGGCATAATTAAGTTACGAAAATGAAATTTGTTTATTATTGTCAAGATAATCAACACGCTTATTTAGATATTTTATACTTGTTAGTAAATTTACCTAATATTCGAGATAACAGTGGCAATGCTGAGCTGAGCACGAGAAGGAGGGCACAATTCGCGATAAGATGAGTAAGTGGCGTGGAATGAAACCGTGGTCGAACGCTTCTAACACCAGGTAGTGTGTACAAACCTATTGCGCTGGTCGCTGCTAAGTATAAAATTACTGCCACTTCTAAAGCTGCTCCAACGGGACCAAGCTTCGATAACGAATTGATACCCAAAGTAAATTGCTAGAAGATTAATTACATTGATAATTTTGCTGATTCTATCTCTCTTTTTTTTTATCTTAAATGGAAATTAAATTTATACAAACCCTTGTACTTAAAGGTAATGCCTTAATACCAATAAGTAGTTCTAATGTATTTTGAACCGCCAGCAGAGCTGTGGCAGTGGAAAGCATTAGTAATGCTAGCATAGCCAAAGGATAGAGCAACGTACGTCGAACCCACCAGGTTCGTCTCTGTTGATCTAAGATTTTTCTTCGCTTCTCGATGTCCTCTAATCGTTGAGCCAATCCACGCTGAAGAGCACCATTTTTTAAATACATTAGGCTCGGATTTACATTTAAAAGCTCATCATCATCTCGTACTGAACCACAAGTTGGTATAGACATAGGCACTGGCGAAACGTATGATTTTCCTGTTGCTTTCGCATATTGCAGTCTACGTAAATAATATTTAGTAAGACATCTAGATCCAGCTAAAATCTTTGTACACAAGAATGAATTGCTAACCTTCGTCGAATACAATCCTCTTCTAATCTATAGGCGAAAAATTCTTCATCTAAGTTTTTTAGGAACTGCGGTTTCACCAGAAACGAACCGACTACTCCGAATAATCTTACAAATCCCATTGGTGTACAAACTGTGAAGATATATATAAAATTAAAATACATATATGTATAATTGCTGAATAATTGCAAACCGTTATGATGGTTTAATACTTACGCAATAACATAACAACTCCAACGAACGAAACGCAAGAATAAAGGAAAGGCAAATAATAACTCCATAAATCTGTAAAATGTAAAGAGTAATAAAAATTATTTGATTTCTTCTAGAAGACGATGTAACACTTTTAGTATACTTACTGAGCAATGTGTGAAGACTGGATTTCTGATAATCTATAAGTGCTGATAAGACATATGTCATTCCTAATACAAGTGTTCCCAATAGACAAAGCACTGTCACAGTTTCATAAACTCTGGCCATAACACCCTATGACAAAGAATTGTTTCTATGAATACTGCATAAAAATAGAACTGAAATCAATTTCTTATCGCTTAATCCTACTACCTTCCTGTAGCCAACAAATCCTTCAGACTCCGTGAACAAGTAAGCAAATGGCAGAAACACAAAGAGGGATAAATTTGAAAAGAGAAACACATGATTCCACAGACCTAAAAAGAAACAGTATTTTTAAAATAAAGATAATCTAGTACTACAAACAAGTTCCATTAAACATGTAGGTACCTTGAATAAGAGAGCTATTGAGCCACTTGACGTAATAGCTGTTTGGGTATAAAATGAGGACTTCATTGCTAGCGATCGAAACCGGAAGCAGTAAGGTCGCTCCGACGGAAACCGTCAGTGCAACAGTGCATAGCCAGAGACTGATCCTGTAGACGGTCGCTTCATCTTCATCGACAGAAAAGTAATCCTCGCGATCCCTTCGACGAAATTTTGCAATTAACGCGTAGCTCGACACGTACAAAGCCAAAAATAGTAGGAGAAATATCTGAAAGAAAAATAAAATACATATAATGTATCGCATGATCAATCTGGGTAAATATTGACATTCGCATTTCATTAAAAATAATTGGAATTATTTTCAAATCATTACAGAGGAGTTGTTTGATGATTTAAAGCTAATTAAATAAATTAAAAAGGGTATTATACATACACGTATATGATTGATGTAATCGATACAAGTCAGTTGAATTTAATCGAGTTAAAAGATATGACATACACTTGAGATTATTTTTCTTCGTGCTATTAAATATACATGTAATCCGTGTTGTTTCAGAACACATTGAGTCGGGCTTATTGAGCGTACAGTTTACACTGCTTACGTTACATGGTCTTAAAGATACGCATACCGATTTAAATGATCCTTGAAGCGCATCTTTGAATGGGTATTACTTTCAAAAGTAATTCGCGCCATCAATGTACGCAAGTGCAATAGCGCGAATCAATTATTACCTAACCCTCGAACAGCGGACCATGGAGAGAGACCCAATTTTAATTTAATTATCTATTTCATATTATTTTCATTTTCTAAATTTTATACTATTCTTTTAAAATTATTCTTCCAATATGTATACATATGTATGAAGCTCTTTCATTTAAAAATTATACATTTAACTTTAATATAATAGATTAATATCCTTGTAAATACATATATGTTTTGTAAGTTCGGGCCTCCTTTTATTACAAGTGTATAATAACGGTGTATTTTATTTCAGAACCACCATTAGTCAACAAAAGTCCTTCCCTAGTAAACTACGTACTGATACGTATTTTTGTGTTTATAATAGAAAATAACACATATTTGATCTTAATTAATGGGTTAAGTTAACTGATGCGTTCTGAACAGTGCAGAAAGTGGAACGGGCGTGTCATAAATTGCAAACTCAGATACTTGATTGATACGCAATACAGTAACATTGCATGGAAACAAAAGGAATATATAGGAAGTTGATATACGAGATGCGGGTGTATAATTCTGTCGCGGCGTGTGACTCTACACATATTCACGCCGGAGAGCCATTTGACGAGGGGCACGCGAAGAAGGGACTGCAGCCAATCGGCTGCCGACGTGTGCATGTTTTAGTGTCACGCGTCGCGACAGAATCAACGCAACTCAATGTACATACACATTGTGAAAAAAAGTGGGAGACCTTGAATAATGTTATTACATTACAATTGTGTTATCACCTTCTTTGTAATGTTTGCAAGTGTTACATACAGCTTGGTATGTTTTATATGTAATTTGCAACACATTTCACGAGCGTATCGCGGCGTACTTGAAATAACGTGCCGATGAAGCGGGTCATCGCAACCCCCATACTGATTACGATAACTCGACCACTTATACATGCGATAATATTTCATTCAAAGAGATTATACATAGTAATAAAGAAGACCGCGTTCAATAAATTTGCCAGTTTGCAATTCGCATGAGATAACAGGATGAGAGGCTAAGAAGCCAATCGCGAAAAAACTTAAAAAACCTCGTGAAATGTATCAAAGCAGGGGATATAAATACAAGATTTACTGCAGCTTTACAAGTGTCAATGCGACGATATGTTAGGTTTGATGTATTGTTTTGACGTCAATGTTAGGTTTAAAACGTTCTCAACGTCAAGTTATTGTACGATCGATTAAGAATCTCAAACTTTGTAACTACCGAAAGTAGAACTAGAACGCTTACAGAGGAATATTTATCAGTTACTGAATTTCAATACAACACGTTTCTTTGTATTTACAATAATTAATGTTTTGCTGTGGTAACACCGGGTCTAATTCCCATGCGTCGCCGACTCTCCGGACGACTCCTTGGAATACCAGGGACCTATAAATAATAGGGAAGCGTGCAGTGCGAGGAACAAGTCGACGAGGAGAAACGGTTCTAAGTTTCTATTTCACCATTTTGATGAAAGAAGAGTTGGTAGTTTTTATGTAATGTAAATCTATTTCAAGAATTCTTGACATCATATATTACGCGTTAATATTAAACTTCCGTCACATACTTCCCTATGTTCCTACCAGTTATCAAGCGTGATAGCATTAATTTTCTGTCCGCTCCTGTTACTACAACGTGTCACGTAACTAACGGATGTCGTTTCCTTCTGAACGACACGCAAACAATATACAAATTATAGAATCGATAGTAATCAACAATGCGGTCGCCCTAGACAATTATCAGTTGAATATTGATATCTAATTTTAATAACATTATTAAATAAGAATTTTTTAACCGCTTAACTTGTTTTTTAAAGTTAAACGTGTCTCGATAATTTGCATTATTAGTCTAAAAATTTCAGAGAATATATTACTTGCCACTGCATTATCTTTAGCAAATGCATACCGAAGATATCGTGAACATGGGACGGTAATATCTCTGAAATAACAACCCACACTGAAAAATGTGTTAACATCACAGGTGCATTATCCTTCTCCAAGCATTATATGTATATGTTTTCCTACGTATGTTAAACTCCTGTTTGCCAGGTCTTATTTTTATCTCTTTATATTTTCTTTGCACACAAGATCTGTAACTAACACCAGTCTGTTATTCTCCATATCCAATTGGTAAACAATTCACAGTTGCAACTTAAGTGAATAACAAAATATTTTATATTTTTTAACCAAGGTCTGCTTACAAAATAAAACCGAAAGAAAGAGAAAGTTTGTATTGGTAAAAAACAACGTTTCAATATAAAACGATAAAAAATATCAAAGCAAATTACCAACATTTAATTATGTTTATCATTTAAATTTACTGGCTTTATTGTGTGTTGCGCTAGATACTATTATAGTTGGCAAAGTTTACTTAAAAGCTGAAAATAGGAAGTGGTTCGCCTAGATCTGTGGTTAGACATTTAATTTTAATTTCAACAATGGTGTTCAATGATCACTGTTTCTACTCAATTTAACAATAGCAATACATGTAGGTTGTTCAAATAATCGGTTACTTTCTAAATTTACAGATATCTATCGATAGCGTTACATTTAACGGAACTTCTACGTTCATCTCACGTCAGCTAAAAGAGAGTGTAATGCACGATAAGGACGCACAATCTGAACGATTAGCTGAAAAATAAAAAATTATTTACTCGAGCGTACATACATACTTACAAATCATGAGTGGCATTAAAAGAGGTTAACTAAATCGATTCAGATGAATTTTAGCAGTCCAATTTATCGGTATTGCATTCAACGAATTTCTGATTGCGAATCTGGCTGTTAAACTTATAGTTGAAATTATATATTCGACGATAAACGACACGCCCCATTAGACATTTTGATTAATGCGTTAAGTACTTACACGACGGATAAATCAGTGTACTTCGATCCAATTTCACAGATACATACAACTAGCGATCCTAAATGTTCGTAAACAAAAAGAGAGATCATTATGTTACACGAGACAACCCTCGTGTCTTTGTCCCCGACATTATTTTTAGCTTTTCTAGATCAACAGCATCGTCGTTCGCTCCTTTTAGCATAAAACGTGTTTCTATGTATGGCACGTAACTGACCGTTAAACCAAGTTCTTTTCTCACAAGTACTTATTTAACCACGTAAACATGCAAAATGCTTTCAAGACTGTCCCAAATTTTTTTCTTTTAGCTACTAAGTAGATAGTATCGAATACTGTGAAAGAAAATCCTGGCTAAAATTCGAAATGGATTTCAAATCACGGGTATACTTCCGAAAGTCCCCATCACCCCAGGACAACCAAACTTCGGATTTATAGTAATTGAGGGACGAGAAATCGAATGAGACCATTTTCAGAACTGGCAAATAAACCGTTCTCCGGATATACAGGGTATTCTAAAAGTGCGGAAACCCCCTATTACCTCGATAAGAACGCATTTTCACGGAAAATGACTAACCTAACCTAGGTTAGGGTTAGGGTTAGGTTAGTCATTTTGCGTGTAAATGCGTTCTTATCAAGATAATAGTGGGTTTCCGCACTTTTAGAATACCCTGTATATCTCGAGAACGGTTTATTTGCCAGTTCTGAAATTGGTCTCATTCGATTTCTCGCCCCTTAATTACTATAAATCCAAAGTTTGGTTGTCCTGGGGTGATGGGGCCTTTCGGAAGTTTCCCCCAAATCACAATGGAGGAGCATAGTTGGGGATAAGTTGATACTGTCGAGGTATCGATGTCTAGTCGGTATCGAAACAAAATGTTCTTCTTTATTAATATATTTTATTATAAAAGATTTATTTACATTATACACAAATAAAAAGTTAAAAATGTTGTACTTAATTTCTAGCGTGGAAGACCTGATTATTTTTTTTTTTTATTCCAAGTAGGTATACTAAAAGTACTCGCTATCGGAACAAAAGTATCGAATATTTACTTGTATCGATTCGTCCCTGATGCCACAGTCGGTCGCAACCACTTTTTATACACAATGAAGAAGAACCGGTTGGGATGAGAAATAAATACGTGGTCAATGACTTTGCGTGAAAGTATTGAGAAAGCACATTGCGAAAAGTATGTTTCAAGATTCTTTTATGCATCCAGGATTACCCAATAAATCGTGCCGAACGAAACTGGTAAAGTCAAGGGCAACTACACTTGAAATAGTTCAACGACATCTGTACGTGAACGAAATTTATCCTTACGATAGAATTATGTACATACATATACGGTTTTAAGGATTTCAGCCAATCAGGGAAAATTTTATTGCTATTTTATCGTACTCTACGACGGTGATTCCTTTATAGCACACATTCGTAACTCTGTATATGCATATGTTTTCTTTGGCATCTTTGCAATTTGAATGTTTACGTAAATTTAACGGACTTTATCAAGTAACGTTTAAATGAACTCCTTATCAGCAATTGATGTTATTCTTTGTTCAAATCAACGTGTCTATATATATATTCTCTTTCACGCTGACGTGGAAAATTGCCGGAGCCGCATTTATTTGTACCATTTGTATAAATGTATTGTGTTCATAAATTCAAGCTAGAGTTTAATAAAAAAAAAAAAAAAAAAATGATTTTGAGAAAAGTAGAATTATAAAATAAAATAACATTTTATGTTTTTTTATTGCTAATACCCTTTGCATATTTTAATTTTGTTTTTAATCATTGCATTAGATATAATGTAATATACGTATACATATCAGTATAAAAAGGAAACAGTGGTTTTTTATAGAGTTCGACAGTCGAAAGGTTAGAAATAAAGAATGAATTTTCATTAGCTTTCATTCAAAGTTAAGAGCAAAATCATTCGTTTAAAAATTAAATATTGAAAGAAACATCTCATGCAATCAGGAGGGAACGTGGCGATTTCTTATTGCAGGAACGTCACAAGAATTTTCGAATATTATCGTTACTGGTCAACGGTGAAATAAACAAACGAGTACGAAGATTAAAGGAAATCCTTAATCTATTTACTCACGATGTTCTCCCGTACTGTGTTGTGAAATAATTGTTCTCTGAGGTCCGCTTCATCTTCCATCTTCACCTATTTGTCAGTGAATTTCTTTTGGCTAGACGTACTGTCGTCGGCAACAGCGACATTTTCTTATATCAATAATCTTTTCGTGTAACACACCATGCCCAGATTTTCACAAATAACACTTCCTCGTCGCAAGAGCTTCTGCTTTTCGCAATGTATTGCAAGAAGCTGTAACTCCTTTCTCTGTATGGAAACGGATTACATCTCCTATCTTGTTGTCTTTTATATCACGTTCACTAAGAACAAATAACACACCACCATTACCTTCTGCGGTTAGCAGACTACTAAAAACAGTGTGTCGTTTGTGCTTCTATACTGACCCGCCATCTATGCATGCGCAGTAGGTTCCTACGCATATTGTTCCTGTCTGAACGATTGTTTTAATATTTACAATTTATACTTTAATTTCATCACTTAGCTCATTAATATTTTTCACTAACTTAACTACTCCACATAGATATGTCATTTCTTTTCTGAATTTTGTAAGCAACCAATTATTAATAGAAAAATTAGGTGGATGACAAGAATAAAATTAATTAAATATACATAGTGATATTAAATATTTCAAATTACAAAAATAGTAAATGACATAGTTAAAGTAGTCAATAAAATCGCAATACAGAATCTTGTTAAATTAAATTCATATTTGGCGCGTTTGCAAAATCCGCCATTTTCTGTGACCGTAGCGTCCCCCGCCGACAGGTTCCAATACGGAGTTTTTTCAAGATTCAAATTAACAGAGTGAAATCAAAAGTTTGTGTTATTTGCATAACATACGTGTCAAATTAAATTTTTTTATAAAAGTCATTGTGTCTGTGCCTCCATAATTTCCTGCTTCTCTATCTTCAAAACACCCAACTGTATTGCCAAATGTAAGAAATCGTTTATAAATAATGATCAAGCAAACAAATAGTGAAATATCGTATTTTATTTTATCGATACGATGGAACTTACAAAACATATTATAGTGTAGTATAAATATAAATCTGTGAAAATTTATAATGAACTTTTCCTGAGTAATAAGTAACTTTTTCAACTTTTTTTACTCGGATCTACTTAATTCGTAATTTATTAATTGCGATTTATCGCATGTTTTACTTGCCATCTAATATAGTAATATAGCTATATTCTTGTGTATAAAAAAACAAAAAGGGTTTTCATTTTTTCATTGTAACTCGTATATTATTACAGTGCATGTTCAATTACGTAGAAATCGCAATAACAAAATAATTACAATATCCTAGTGTTATACATACATGTATAATATAGGTGTCATTGTTAGTTTCTTGTTTAACTTATTATATATTTTTGTTTTATTTTTTTAGTATATGCATACTTGGACTGTAAATTAATCTAGTATATTATAGAGATCAAATCTTTTAAGATAACATTCTGCAGTTTTCATCAAGTAACATTTTTATTAATAAAAATGTGATGTTATTTATATTAACAATGTTTCATTCTTTGTTTGCACTTTTGGGAACAGTATTTACTTTATTCATATAAAGTTTGCTATCAATGGTGCTAAATTGATTTGCCATTAAAAGCGAAATTAAGTGAACTCCATTTCACTTCATAATTAACATTAAGATTTATTTCTTTATTTATATATATATATATATGGTATGGAACACATTCACTGCCAGCAAAGGCTATGAATTTCATTTTAGGCAAATTTAATCAAGTATCACAGATTCTTAATCTCGCCAAAGAGAATATATCTTTATGTTTTTAATTCATGCAAGACATTTGCTGTTACAAAATGAATAAATGTTTCAGTATACATGTAAACAATAGAAATCCAATTAATAGAGACAAAATGGATTAAAAGATTGATCCAAAATTGCACTATTTTGTTTCAAGCACAAAGGACTTTGTTTGATCAATTGAGTTTCTATCGTGATTAATTTAAAATAACATTATGTTTAACAACTATATAATTGTAGAATACTAGTATTTCATTTTACAGTAAAATTCTTAACTTGTGCATGCAAGAAATGTGTACTAAGAACACATTCAATCAGAAAGGAAATATAATTACCTAAAACTATATGTATTATAACAAAACCAATTATGTAAGTTTCAGTTGTAGTAATTTGATCTTTAGTCAAAATTAAAAATCTGTGTATATTACATGTCTAAACAATCCTCATAGTGCACTGCATATATCTTATATATAAACAACAAGGTATCCATATTAAATAGCTGGTTTGCTTACAAGCCTCGCTTAAGTAGAAAATTCTGCTTGAGACTTGAATTTAATAGGATTCTCAAACAGCAGTCCAATCAAAAGTGATTTACAATTATCAGAGGATAGATTTAGTTTGCTACGCGGCTACTTCTCCAAAATTCATATGGCCTGTTTCCTTAGCATGTTGTTGGGCTTCCATTTGGCCATTTAATTTGATTTTACAAACATTGCACATTAATGTAAATTTTTGAATATCTGTAAATTGACGACTAGATTTTACTTCCCTTGCAAGTTCTGCTGCCTCCAATAACATTCTTTCATCTTCTGTAGGAAAGATAGTTTGAATACTACCACCCTGTATATAAAAATAATTGTTCAGGATAAATAGAATATTAATGCTTTAGTTAAAAATGAAAAACACTGTACTCACATCAAGTGGTTCTAGGTATAAAGGATCATAATGAATTCCATCAAATATTAGAAACACTCTTTGAGCATAATGTTGATCTTCCCCAAATCTATTGATTATAGCATTAATGCTATCAATTACTGCTATTTCCAATCCATAAAATTTTGATAAAATAGACAACTCTATAGCTCCACCCCACGATTCAGGCTTTGAAATCCATTTACAATATTCAGAGTTGGGTCGACCTAAGAAAGCTTCAGAATATTCTTCTGGATCAGCTGCCACAGCGTTTGCTATAATTTCTCTCATGAAGCTTGCGCAACTAGGGTCTACTTTACCTGGAAATACACTGTTAGATTAAAGGAGGAGTAGAATATAGAGAACTGGTAAATTATAACAAAGATGTACATACATTTCTATGTACTGCTCATAAATAATGTAAACCATATTACATACCATTGAGCACATATCCAACACTGGTAAACAAGCAAGAGTTATCTGCAGGTACAACTTTTTTCATCAGTACACCAGGCGTGTTGATGTAACTTTCATCATCAATGATATGAGATCGACCGATCTCTTCCGATTTTCGTTTTCCATTGTAAAGAGGTGGTTTTTCTTCTACGATTAAGGTATCACCCGAAACAATGCCGCTCTCCTCGATCGTGTTCGCTTCATCGTTGAGATTAATCGCTTTCGGTGGAAACCCACCAAGAACGTGAAGCGAATCGACGGGTATTCCTGTTAGCTCTGCGAGCTTCGATTTTAATTCGGATACCTTATCTTGCGGGATCAGTCCGTTTACAACCTTTTGACCTGATTTCGTTTTAACTCTCAACACAAATCCGGCCATCGTTTTTTCCCCCCTCGGGTACTGGAGTTGACTAGAACGAAAATTTTGGTCAGAGACTGCCAGTTGATCAGCTGTTGATACAGCGCCACAATAAAATTTTGTTTAACTTTGAGGCGAAGAACATATCACGAGTGAAACGCAGCGTCGATCGTACGCAACATACACTTCATGTATTTTTTCTTATTGATAGATATCGACTATCTTTTGCAATTCATCATTGATTATACTTAAACACACGAATGTATGTATACCGCAACTTCCACCAACGAAGGTTACTGGCTCGTTGCTTAGACGAGCATTCTAGGAACTTTTTCGTTGTTAGTTGATACGCTGTTATCGTTCCATCTCTTTTTATCCAATGAGGTAACAGTTGGAAAGTAAGGAACAAATCGAGTTAGTGTTTCCGGTATTTAAATAGAAATTACTGCATTATTGTTGATCAGTCGAATGTGGGCATGGAAAGTGACGATATATTATTTTTACGCGATGTAAATTTCAAAATTAGAATTCTTTTCTTTTCCTTCTATTTTCTTTTTTATATTGTTCATACGTTTTAGTGACATCTTCCTATTTTATATTTGGATTATATAATACGGTTATTGTATGTAGTATATTAAGAAAAATTGCGTGATGATACTATTTATAGGTTAATGGTAAATGAAAATTAAATTTTAACTTTGTATATCCTTAAATCATATTTATTTCATAGGTTCAAGAATATAAGTTCTTTTCTTACAAATAAATATAGAAATTAAACTGATAAACAGTATATTTCTTGATATATTGTACGTATAGTTGGAGCATCATTTTATCAAATACTATAGATGCTTTTTGGCGCGCATTTAAACGCAGTTAACCTACTTAATTTTTTGTAATAATAGTATTCGATCGCTGTAAAATGAAAATGATATCGTGTCTAACGATAAGTTACTTTCGCAGAATAAATATTACATATTTACACGAATTTACACGTAGTTCGAAATAAAAACGATGATCGATCTTAAACTCTATACGAACGCGCGTTAATTTAATTGTAAGTGATAAAAAGTTTCTTTCGATTAACATAATAAAATAAAGCACTTGTCAGCTAAAGTTCGATATTTTTTCGAAAGAGAAACTAATTAATTATTCTTCTGTTCATTTTCTATAACATCAAATGTTGTAAATAGTGAAAAATCATTATTTTTCATCGTTTCCTTCCAGAAAACGAGTTGTTTCTTGTTTAATCGAGGGTATCCTTTCCTGTTTTTGGTAACAGGAACGACATAAATCCACATACTGAAACAAATTGAATTAAATTTGTTAACGAAGTTCTAAATGATTAGAGCAATTATTATAATAAAAAAGTTCTAAATAGTTACTGAATAAAAATGCCGCGAATAAAATGATAGGAACCACACAGGCCAAGTCAATTAGATAACCGAACACTAGATTACCAACTAGTGCACCTAATCGACCCATAGTAAGAGATAGAGCTGCAGCCATCACTCTGAAAGTAGAATAGGAAAATTTAAATACAAAAATTTCGGAAAAATTGAATAGAAATAAAAATGTATGAAAATTTAATTGGAAAAATTTGGAAATATTTCGGAAAATGTAAATAGGAAAATCTACAAAAATTTAAATAGAAAAATTAAGAAAGTTTGAATTCAAATATTTAATTAAAATAATCGTTTCCTCAAGAATTACTTACTCCATCTTTACAAAGAGTAAACTATAGTTAGTCTAACTATTTAACATTATCAAATTAAAAATTTCTACTTTCCTCGTATCATTTTTTTTTTGCAATTATGATTACGGTGTTTTGTTATTTAAAAAAAATTTCTATATCATTCTTTGTTTTTCGAATAAAAGCTTTTTCTTTAGATTTCTTCGGGGAATAATTAAAGAGTTTAATTAATACCAAAGAAGTCTCTTGATTAATTTGCAATTATTTATCAACGTTGACATAAAGCATAGAATGCAACTAGGTAAACAATAAGAGCATACGATTAGGAATCAGATAAACGTTCTGTTTATCACATTATAATTGTTTTGTTCGAGGTTGTTTTGTTCGTAAATCTAACATCGTGCTATCGCGTCAGTTGTCTTAATAAATAAATCAGAAGAACTATCTGTCTTACCTGAGATTCGTCGGGAACATGTCGACGATTACGCAATAAACCAGCGAGATACCAAGAGATGTGAGAGCCTCGAAAACACAGGATAATATCAGGTTCTGAGTTGCGTTGACCACGTAATAAAAGGCAACCGTTACCCCCCCGGAAACCAACAGCGACACAACTGAAATTCAACAATTCATTTTTCAAAATATACGAAGGCTTCTAAAATTAGATGATTAAACGGAAAATTAAGAAAAATTAATTACTTAGGAAGAACTTGGCACCAAGCTTGTGCACGAAAATCGGCAGAATGATGGATCCAGGAATGCAAGCTAATCCGATGTACACAGTGTGTAGATAAACGGAAGGCGTGATCACTGTGTCGCATCCGAAAGAATCGACAAGGGTCGCGTTATCCGGAACCGCTGACACTATGCAGACCGAGGTGGATTGACCAGGATTCTCGTGCTCGAATTCTTCGAATCTGTAATTAAATACCCCTTTTAATATACATGAAGTAATTTTCCGTGGCTTAAGGATACATTCTAATCAGTGAAATATCATTAGCATTAACATGATTGCCATGGTTCTGTATAATTGAATAATTAATAAATAAAGAGAGAAGGCAATTCAGTATTATACTAATAATGTAAGGTACCGATTTAAAAGTTTACATTTGAAAATCAGTTGATAATACAAGTTTAGTATGTCTGACTATACATGGTTTTATCTACTGTAGTTTCTTCTACGGTTCCTTTTTTTCAGAATCTTCTGCAGCTATCAATTTCGAATTTTTAGATTATCTAGTATCATACTAGATGTGTATTTTAGCCGAAGGGAATATTGAAATACCGAATGGAAAAAATTATACAACCCTACCAATGTGTAGGCTTTTTGATAAAAATGTCTTTGGCTAAAATACGTGTTACCCTTAGTAGTAAAAATACACAAAATTTCAATTCGATCGGTCAAATGGTTACTGAGAAATAAAGGAACATGAGTGCCGGAAAACGTGATTTTACAGGAGAAGCATTTTTCTAAAATCTTGCCTCCATTAATTCATACGTCGGACTCAACTTTGTGAGCATTTTTCGACTACTTATAGCGCCTAAAAAATTATTTTAATAATGGATTCTGATTTTAAATATTGTTTATTATTAAGTAAAAAATTAAAAAATTCGATTTTTTGACCCCCCCCCCCAAAATGCCAATTACAATCTACTTAACGCTTAAAATCAAAGGCAATTTAGGGGAAACTTCCGAAAGGCCCCATCACCCCAGGACAACCAAACTTCGGATTTATAGTAATTGAGGGACGAGAAATCGAATGAGACCATTTTCAGAACTGGCAAATAAACCGTTCTCCGGATATACAGGGTATTCTAAAAGTGCGGAAACCCCCTATTACCTCGATAAGAACGCATTTTCACGGAAAATGACTAACCTAACCTAGGTTAGGGTTAGGGTTAGGGTTAGAGTTAGGGTTTTCTTTTGAAAATAATGTACCTGGTGAATAGTTCTGGGAACCAGACCATCAGAGTGTAATAACTACTTGTAAGACCAAACTGAATGCCACACGCTAACAGTGTGTTACGAAGATACGGTGATTTGCAGAGAGCAGTTGTTAGGTCCCTCACTTCTTTAAGTAGAACCTTCAAATCCTTTCGTTTATGCAATTTCAAGGATCTTGTGCTTTTGTCCTTACTTTTCTCTTGCAAAGTTTTCACCTGAAAGAATCGCCTCAATTAGTAATTTCGTGAAATAAACAAATTTTATGGATGATTTGTGTGAAAAGAAATTACCGGATACGAGTCCGGACTTTCACCGGTGTTCTGGGAGTAGATCCATTTGAATACTTCGAGGGCAGCTTCGGTTTCGCCACATTCCAGAAGGAATTTCGGGCTTTCCGGAAACGCGAACAGCCAGAGACCCAACATAATCGAGGGCAAAGCGCACAGCGCCACGAAGAGATTCCACGACTTAAAGTAAAACACGTCCGAGAGGTAAATGAAATCCATTGGTATGATCAACCAAGCGATCACTGAAACGAATCATCGGTAATTTAAATATTTAACTCAATAGATTTCCATTGACTCGTAAGGAGTTGTTGATATAATTAATAAAAATGATACTCACGTGGTAATACTATGACTCCGACTGTCCAGAACATTTCCATCCAACAAAGACATCTTTCGCGATACTTTGTCGGCTGGAACTCCCCTAAATACGGAAAACAAATTCCCATAGCTCCCGTAACGCTATATCGTATAAAAAAATAAAGATAGAAATAAAAGGAAAAGCAAAAAGCAAAGAAAAAGAAATTAACGGAATTTATATTTTATAACAGTGAATAAAAGAAAGGAACATTTCATTGCAATACTTACGCGAACCCGTTGAAAAATCGGAAGACCAAGAAGATCCAGAAATATTGGACGAAAGAGGAAATAACCCCAACGATACCGTCCATTAATAATGTGATTATTAACACGACTTTTCTCCCCTTCGTATCAGCCAGGCACCCCCATATATAAGAACCCACCACCATACCTGTGAAATTAGAAAACAGAAAATTATTGATTGAACAGTGTATTTATTGTCGTATGGTGTTTGATAAAGATTCAAGTAGAAAAGTAGATGATTAGTCAGACGTTCGAGCGAAAATCAAGTTCTTCGATTATTATTTATGGAGTAAACAATTATGATTCATAGATTGAGAGTGATTGATTTTCAAATTTATTTATAAATTGTGTAAGGAAACTTACCTAGCATTGGGGATGCTGTTAACCACCCTTTCGACGTAGAATCCATTTCCAAGTCGCATTGTGCTGCTGGCAAGACGAATGATAGTATCGTCACTCCTATAGCAGTGTCCATGTAAATAAGGCCACATACTGCCAGCAGCATGTAATGAAATTTTCCAAATCCTGATGAAAAAAGAAAATTAGTTTTTTTAGAACATTTGTAATTTTCGAGGCTCTTTATTCATATCTCGGTAATTGAAGCGTTAATATTGATACTTGACTGAATTATTTCGAGAAAGTGATTCATTAAAAAGAATCAGTTATTCCTTTCATTATTAAAGCAAGTAACATTTATACAAGGATATTGGAATTATAAAAGTTAGTAAATAGAAGATTCTAGATATAATCAGTTTCTTCAAATGTGAAGAAGCTTTTAATATACGACTGATAAGAGGCACATTTCGTGTGTGACATTAATTAAATAATGCTCTTGAACTTGATACCAATTTATTCGTTGTTTAATACAATTCGTGTTTTATGACTCTGTTCTCATTTACTCAAGTGCTTGCAGAAAAATGTGTACGATCTGACACATTGCGCGATGAAACAAGTTTGGTGCATCAATTTTGATTAGTTGAAATATGTATATAATAGTTGTGCATAGTCATCAGTTTTTCTTATCAGTCACGTAGTTGCATAGTCTTGCGATCATCTAATAAATGAGTGTATGTACACTGACAATGAGTTGCGTTGAACTTGTCGCAGTGAAGTTGGCTACAAATTCACTAACGCATTCACGCAGCATTGGTGAGCCGATTTGTAGCCAACTTCACTGCGACAAGTTCAATGCAACTCACAATACATATGCTGACGATGAGTTCCATCAAAGTTGTCGCAGTGAAGTTGGTGCACTAACACATTCACGCCGCGTTGGTGAGCCGATGGGCGAGGTGCCGACGACGCGGTGTGAATGTGTTAGTGAATGTGTAGCCAACTTCACTGCGACAAGTTCAATGCAACTCATGTCAGTGTACACAGTTGCATAGTTAATAGTTTTGCATAGTCGCTGCATAGTCTTGTGATCACCTAATAAATGAGCGTATAGTTGCATAGTCGTGTGATTACCTAGTGAATGAATATACATATAGTTGCATATAGTATACAGTTGCATAATTGCATAATTGTATAGTTTGATAGTCGTATGATTATCTAGTTGTGTTTGTAAGTGTATAATTGTATGATAATTATATACGCAGTCATTATAGTCACGCCAGGTCAAGACAGTTAACATTCCAGATTAATCTAATTAATTCCTGATAATTGATTGTGTCATTACACGTGCGAACAAGATTTCTTTATTTAAAATACGATCTCGTTCGTGTTATTTTGTTTGGTCGATCAAGATAAAGATTCGAAAGCCTTACGTCCAAGATAAATCTTTCAACAAATCCCGATAAACGTAATCAGTAGGATCGCGAATTAAGTTAATGCGCCATCAGTATAAATCAGTATCGATGATTTACCTGTTACGGTGATTGCATGCTCGAAATCGGCACCTCCGTCTGCCAAGAAGTCGAGCCCTGTCAAAAATAAAAAATAAATGCGTGTTAATTCAATGATTTCGATTGTGAAAACGTCGCGACGTTTCTGTCAAAAATATTTCACAAACGACAGCAATACACGTGTATCCGATGAAACTTTTGCGTAGCACAAAATATCCGATACATTGGTCCGATTACACCATGTTCGTTGTGACAGAGATTTGATAAGAGACTCGGATAACTTGGATTACTGGATTAAAACGTGATTCAGCGTCTGGACAATGAGAATCTTGATTCCTATTGAATACATAAAAATAGTATAAAGCTTGTAATATTCATTGATTTTGGCTCTGATAACGTAAGTACTCGATATTGCGTAAAATATTGAATGAGACCTAGAAAAAACAAGGGACAGCCAGGTAAGGCGGGAACAATGGTAGTAGCGACTATTATGTATGTAGGATTACTAGGAGAATCCTACTATCCTAGGTGCATTAGTGTATTTGTTACTGATTAATTAATAGTAACAATAGTACTAGCAATCGGACCAGTTATCAAATTAACGCTACTCTTATCAGTAATTTCAGTATCACTAATTAGTAATTAGCAAACAAAAATACTATATAGAAATGAAATTATCGGTGATCAGCATTAATGTAACTAGCATTAAATAAAAAAGAAATTAAATTATCTAGTAATGTTTTCTTAAGGAAAACTTTTAAATCTAAGGGATGAATATCCAGTTACTGATCAGACTATATAAATGGTCATCGGCTCATAAAAGATGGATCATCAAACCTATTCATAATGGATAATAAAAAAATGTTATATTAAAGTTCTATAAACTTTAAGCCAAAGAAATTAATAAAAATCGGCAGGAATGAAAAAATGCAAAATGTTTGTTTAACGGGACCAATCGGAAGACATACTCTACCAGATGCAAAAGGTTTCGTTCCGATTGGTCCATCCGTCTCGGCGTAATCGGTGAACAAACATAAAAAAAAAAAAAATACATACACATCGAATTGAGTATCCTCCTCCTTTTCGAAGTCGGATAAAAATATATTGTACTAACAGTGGTACCAGTTATCAAATTAACATTACTGTTATCGGTAATTCCAGTCTTGCCAATTAGTAAATATTAACAAAAATACTATATAGTAATAAAATTGTTATTGACCAACATTAATGTTACTAGCATTAAAAAAAAAGAAAGAGAGAGAGAGAGAGAGAGAGAGAGAGAGAGAAAACTAAATCATCCAATAATGTTTTTCTAATCGTAAGGGATATCAATATTTAGTTATTGATTTATTAGCTCATAAAATATGGATCATCGAACCTACCCATGATGGACGGTTACGTTTCGAAGATCGTCGGTCTCTCGCGAGGTGATCGGTCCGGGTGGTGTTGGGGAGAATCCGGGACTCTGGAGGATTCCGGTCGCCAAAGCGTAGCACTGTCTGTTCCTCGTGCGTGTTCCACGGTTTTGTCCTCGTCTGCAACCACCGTACGCTACGCTCATTGGTGAACACTCGGTGGTATTTGATCGCCGTCTTTATCGCCTCCAAGCGAATTCCGACGATGCTTTCCACCGAGAATCTTTCTGGACCTGTGTCCTTTAATCTCCTAGAGGTTCAAAGTCTCTTCAAAAGATCCTTGATGATCCTTCTTCGCTGTGTCCTCTCGAATGGCAATTCGAGCGCAAAGAATCTCCAAGATTACTGCAACCAAATCAAATCGCCTGTTTCGATCCGATCGCCGTTAATGGGAGAGGGCTGAATGATCCTCAGTGTCGAATGAGTGACTGACCAAAAATTGATCGTACCTCAACGTATATCTAGACCGTTTTCGGTAGCCGCTTATTAACCTGCCTGATAAGATACTACGCTTTCTCCATCTTTATCTCTCGTGTCTGTATGTTACAATTAGCTGATTTTTACGCGATGACTTTGAGAATTGAGGCGCCAGGTTTCCCGCTAAAATGCTATCTGGAGATTCTGTAGATCGCAAGTATAATTTTGCAATAATTATTACTTTTGAGGGAAGGTTTTTTAGGGATTGGCCATCGCTAATCCAAACTTAAGCCAGGCACAGTAAACCTGCCCCTACATTATCTTTTCTTTAGAAAACATCAGTATTCAACGCTATCCATTAAACGTTAAAGTGTTGCAATTTCTTCCAACTCAACGCGTGATAACAAAGTTGAAACAGGTATCACGGGATTTCTAATTGCTTTGGATTAAATTCATTAAAATATACGAGCACAGTTCACTCGTGGTACGTTTATTATAGTCACTTCGAACGATATCGTGGAGCGAGGTTTAATTTGTTTGTCGACCTACTAAGAATGTAATAATTTGGATTTGGATTTTATGACAAACAATGTGCATCGGTTCATGGTACGTTTCATGGAACACGTCTCTTTTCAGTGTTTTTCGTCATGCGTTCGTTATTTACAACCTGTTGAAACGTCGACTTATACCATCGTCATTGTCCTGATCCCCTTAGCAGCCTGTCGCATTATCTAAATACGAAACTCGCAATAACTAAACAACGTGTTTGTCTGGGATTTGGGTGCTCGTGAGGTAACGTATTTGTCGGGGTAATATATCACATGCACAAGCATCGTGCATTTTTTATTTTCCTTTTTTTTTGTCGACCGTGACACCTTGCGGATGAAGGTTTGTTTGTTTTGACGCGTGAAGAGAACTGATTTCGTTGTTTCACATTCTTCTTGATATTTTGGAATGAAATGACACGAATTGGGGGGGTCTTTGGTTGAATTCGGGAAAATGGGGCACCCTCCGAACGAGCTGATTTTTTTACCATAGGTAGCCCTTGAGATGGGGATTCCAACGGTGGTCATCCCATCTCTTACCTCCCACCCGTCGCCCCGATAGAGGTCACAAACTAAAATCGCTCAAAAAGTGGTTTCTGCACCGATCTCGATGAGTACATAAAAAATATGTTTTAAAAAATTGAAAAAAAAATATTAAAAAATTTGAAAAAAATGAAAAAGAAATGAAAAAATAAAAGTGAGAAATTTTAAATTAAGAAATGTAAACAAATTTAAATTTAACTTTAAACATAAGCGTGGCCCCTCCCCATTTATTATAACCTAACCAAAGAAATAAGAAAAATAAAAAAAATGAAAAAACAATTTAAAAAAAAGAAAATAAAAGTGAGAAAAAAAAATGAAAAAAAAAATCACTTTTTGAGCGATTTTAGTCTTTGACCTCTACCGGGGCGACGCGACGGGTGGGTGTTAAGAGATGGGATGACCACCGTTGGAATCCTCATCTCAAGGGCTATCTATGGTAAAAAAATCAGCTCGTTCGGAGGGTGCCCCATTTTCCCGAATCCAACCGGATCTTTTATTTTGGTACCTTTCATCCCTTTTTTAGGGTCATCTTCTTTAAATAGATTTGCAAAAAAAAAAAAAAAAGGATTTTCTATCCACGTGTTTAGTCGATCTTCATTATTTGAAATCGGAGGTAATTGTACTTTCAATCAATTATAAAAATTTCGATGGGCATCGATATTATTATCTTCATTCCTATCACGGTCATCAGACTTCCAATTTATACTGACGAGAAATCTGTTCTATTGTATGTGTCTCTGTGAGACCACGTGCCACTGATCGTTTAAACGTTTCCCTCCTCAATGTGCCGACAATTGACGAGGAAAAAAGTATTTCGTCGTAATCGAACATTTAACGCAGCCTGACAATTGTCGAGGTTAATCTACACCGGTCGAAACTAGTGTGGCTTATGTTCGATTCATTCGACAGAGCAAACAGGCTTATGGAGATCACACATCGAACAACAAGTAGGTATCGACGTAAATTTCTGAGATCTTCCTGACAAGTCTTCAATTCGAACGAAACATCTAGAAAGTTAGATCGAGACCTTTTGAGTCATTCGTTTAAGTTTTAGTGATAGCTTAACCTAGACCTACTAGCATAGGGCAGTGATTGGCAATCACGCCCTCGATATTGGAAAATTTGAGATTTATATATTTTTAAATGTCAGTTTCCAAAATCCCAAATTATGTAAATTTGAAAGTTGGAAAATTTAGAAATTCGAAAATTTGAAATTTTCAAGTTTTAAAGCTCCCAAATTTCCAATTTGGCAATTTCAAGTTTCTCATTCCCCATTCCCCCTTCCCCGTTTTCCGAGTTACCCAGTTCCCAATTCTGAAATTTTCAAATTTTTATATTTCCCACATGTCTGTGCCACACCCTCTGCTGTCCCCAAAATATGTTGAGGTATTTCAAGTCACGGGGCGTATGATTCGTGATTACTTCAATTCCCAAGCAAGCAATCATTTTAACAATACAATGATGTACTTAATTTATTTACCGTTTATGACACCGTTCTCATGTAAGCTAAACAATTTTTGCCGCATAATCACCGATGATTAACCATAAGTCTGATGATACCAAGATTTTGGTTTATTTACTTGCTAATTTCTACTTAACGCGAATGGAAACACGTTTCCTGGAGGCGTTTATTGGAAAAATATTCCTATCAATTCAACGAGATAGCTGAAACATGTCCCGATCTTTATCCACGGTAAAAGATAGACAAACTTTTTTAGTTTGAAGGATAGATAATGATTGCGAAAACATTGTTATTTATGGTAATACGATAATAAATTGAGTTAGGTCTGGTATCTTAGATTAGTTGGATTTAATATAGATAGGTCTGAATCGTGGATTTTACTTGAACTTTAAAGAAGTTTCAATTAATTTTGTATCTAGGTACTTATAAAGTTATTTTTGCTAAAAATCTTGGATATAACATAATTGAATGATTAAAAAAAGAAAGTATCATTAATTAAATTTGTGATGCTTGTTCTCATAGCATGCAATGTATAAAAATTAAGATAATTTTTAAATGATTTGAATAATGATTGGTGCAAATTTGAAGAATCCTTTGATCGGTAAAATTATTAGCCAACTTTAAAAAGTGTATTTATAAAATTCGTAGAATTGTAGAACGTAATTTATTGATTGATCGATCGTCTTAATCTCTTTTATTCTCATGCAACAAGTACTTGTAGATATGATACAAAAAACAATGATTACAAAAAATGTGTATTTTAGTCAATTTTGAAATAATCTTAATTGTACACCCATTGGCAAATATCGAAACACAAAAAAACTTCATCAAATTGTAGATGAATAATTCTTGGAAGTCTTTAAAAATCCTTCGGAAACGTTTCCTTTTTCTCTGAACAATTCAATTTTTTCTTTCCATTTCGTTATGTCATCATTGTAGGAATTGTACGGATAATTAAAATTCCTTAAATGATAAAAAAAGATTCATATATTATCGGATCGCATGTTAATACAATGTAATAGCTTTGAATTTCGATATCAGGGATTTATTGATCACTCGATTACGATTTTTTCTGAAAGAAGTTAAGGAAACTTGAAATTCACCAAGTTCGAGTTTACTTTTTAATATCTTGTCTACGAGTATATGATGATCAAAACAAGTGAACCATTAACAACATTGTTGAGAGATAAGGGCCACTTAGAAAAAAAAGTGTTCCATTAAGTGTTTGTTGCATTCCTAATGATCGATTCATTGATATATTTGTTATTTACCTATTTTCAAAAATACACAAAATACTTTTGTTTCTATATTTGATCAATTTTGGAAATAAATTTAATTAAAAAATCCTTGCATTAGTTATAAAAAAATCTTCAATTTTTTAAAACATTTTTGAAATTTTTTATTTGCAATATATTAAAAACAAATTCGTGTAATATTGATAATTTTATTTAATAATTTTGCAAAGGAGGTTTGGATTTAATCTGTAATGTCCAAGAAATTTCAATCAGTTACCTTATCAGCCGCTTATCAAAATTCCATCAAAATCAGAGAAAATCCCCGTGATTCCTGTCTAAAGCTCATAAATCATTCCCGGTTTTAATTATACCTCTAAATACTTCGCGTTAGAGTGCATTTCCCGCGTTTGTTTGGCAGCAGTACAACATTTTCTACTCTCAGAAGTATTTACATTGTTGATAGCACATTACCTCCTTCCGTCTTCATAATGGCAACAAAAGTAATCAGTCTCTAAATAATTCCAAAATTTTTGAAAATGATATCTTATTATTAGACACAATACTGATGTCTGCCACGTACGTATTTGTATTATAACTTCGATAGGTACCATTTTACATGATCAATCTTTAGAATTAAATAATTTGTAATTGAACGGGGTACATTAATGAAATTATTTAAGTACAATCTTTGGTAAACTCTGGTTAGAAATGGCAAGAATTAATTTATTAAAATAAATTTGAATGTCAAGGGGTATAATCTCTCCGCAAAGTGTCGCGAATGAATGAAACCCGTGGCCATTTTATCCGGACTATGGCCAAGATTGTCACTTACGTAATCAGGACGACAATTTTGACGAGGTTGTTTTTATCAAGCACACGTGTACAGTTGATCTTGTTCCGCACCGTAACACGTCCAAATCTCTGGCGTAAGGACTACCATGCACACTTAAAATAAGAAGTAACATCTCTTAACGTATTACTTAATTACCAGTGTAATCGTCGTGATAACGTGGGTCGTTATAAAAAGAAGGGATCCAGTCGGTGGAGGATCGTTGAGCGTAAGCGAGGCGTCGCGACGATGCACCAAGTATGACACGGAACTAACACGGTGTAAATCGCGAATCGACAAACCGACGAGCCCGTGATTTTCCTCAAGTTCGTATATCATGCGCGCGCGTTCCGCGATCTTGGCACGCGAGCGACGCGAGTGGTGGATTCGCGCCAAATATCCGATCGCCATCCCAATATTTCCGTCATCGACGCGACGCGACGCGACGTTGGTACGTCAGCACGATCGCGATCGTGAGACGCCTCGAACACGCTTCTCGCGCAGCTTCCGCTACACCGCTACACCGCTACACCGCACCGATCGGATGAGATCCGCGAAGCCGATCGAGAAAAGTCTACCGGACGACAGGGTATTCCGGTTGACATGGCCATCGTCCAACTGCAAAACACTCTATTTCGGCCTCTTTTCAATGTCAACGACGCCAGAACGGCAGTCTCATCAGCTGAACCAGACATATGGTGGACAGACACTTGTAGAATTGATATTTGACGAATAAATTCAATTAGGAGTTTCATTAGTCGTTTTATTCATGGTCATTGAAGCAATTGGAAATCTTTGGTAGAAGTTTATAGGGTTGTTGGAAGTTTCTATCAGGTGTTCTTGGGCTGTGGATGTTAATTGATAGTGGATAGCTGTTGCGGATACCTCTGATGACGAAGACACTCTAGGCATCCTGATGAGATCATTAACAAAGCCGGAGAATTTATTTGTCAGAAAGGTCCTGTGGGGTTGTTGGAACTTTCTATGGATTCTTTTTGGTCGATGGATGTTGGCTGACGGTGCATAGGTGTCGTGGGTACCTGTGATGATCAAGGACAACCTGGACATCCTTATGACCACTAATAAAGCTGGAGAGTTTATTTGTTAGAAACGTCTTGTGGGGTTGTTGGAACCTTCTATGAATTATTCTTGACAATAGCCAGTTGTAATCAGTCTTTAGCAGAATTGTCGTGTGAACAATAGGTCCCATGGGCATTAATTAAATTGAAGGACCTCTTGGCAGAAGTTAACTGATAATTACCGTACCACTTATCATTCATTGAATTTTCATTGCAATTCCCAATTAAATAGTATTAAATTATTGAAATTCTACATTGCAATAGCAAAAGATAAAGAATTCTCCTAATCAAAAGCCACGGAAGAGATTGCACGAGGTCGCTTTGAAAGTTTTGAGAATCTCATTGTCAGCCAAGCTACTGTACTGGTTCATTATACTTACACTTAAAGCTTTCAACAGATGGCGTCACAGATAGCACCGCTTAATTTCAATTTATTGGCGGATTCTCAAAACTTTCAGAGTAGCCCAGGCAGAAACGAAGACGCGCCTTAATTAGAATCCAAGCCATGAGTAAGTACTATTTAATTGTGAGTCAAATGGTAACGTGTATGTAATCAGGTGGATTAGCTACTCCCGCGTTTTCTCTTCTTCTAAATCGAAACGAAGTAGCGACAGTGTTCCCGCGCTTGATCGACGCCTGTCTAGGCCTTCTCACAAGGGGAACTACCCAAGTGTTACACTCACTTATTAATGAAACTTTGCCAGCTTGTAGAGCTCGTCGAGCTGAACACGCCTAAATCCCGTTTTGTGGGCAGACGGCTAATTGTTTAAAAGATATTAATAATTAAAGTTAGTTACTACTTACATTGAGAAATATGACAGACTCACACATACAACTCGCAATTTAGACATCCACGGTTCAAATCCTTGGTTCCCAACATTTTTTTTTTAATGATAATTTGTCTCTTTTTGAATAACTATTACATCCAAAAAAAAAAAAAAAAAAAGGGAACCCAGGATTTGAACCAAGGACCTTTAGATTACCAGTCATGTATTTAACAACGGAGCAAATCCGTGACTTGCAATTTGAAGGTCCTCGGTTCAAATCCTTGGATCCCAAAAAAATTTTTTTTTTTTTATGATAATTTTTATGTAATAGTTATTTAAAAAGAGACAAATTATCATTAAAAAAAAAAAAAAAATGTTGGGAATCAAGGATTTGAACCGTGGATCTCTAGATTGCGAGTTGTATGTGTGAGTCTGTCATATTTCTCAATGTAAGTAGTAACTAATTTTAATTATTAATATCTTTTAAACAATTAGTCGTCTGCCCACAAAACGGGGTATAGGCGTGTTCAGCTCGACGAGCTCTACAAGCTGGCAAAGTTTCATTAATAAGTGAGTGTAACACTTGGGTAGTTCTCCTTGTCAGTGTAACTCTATTTAAAATTAGGGAAACTTTCTGAGTGAACATTCTTGGATAAAGACTTTAAACTGGCTCTACAAGTTGTAATATCTTGCTCGATACTTAAAATACATTTATTGCTGAAAGATTTGAATGAAGCGCTTCTCAATAGAGGTGTGCCAGTACTCGATTTATTCGAGTACTCAAATTTCGAGTGAAACAATGATCGGTCGGTCGAGCCCAGTCGAGCGCTAGAATTTGCCGAGCTACTCGAAATCGACGAACTGTTTGAAACAAAAGCGAGCTGTTCGAGAAAATCGAACTACTCGAACTACTTTTTCGAGTAGCTCGAAAATTCGGTAAATTCAAGCGCTCGACTCGGCTCGAACAATCGAAACGAGTTCAGCTCGGCTTGTAAATTACGAGTACTCGCAGACCTCTATTTCTCAAACAGGAAAGGATAATTGATAGTCTTGGACGTCTATAAAATATTATTGTTTAGAGGAATTAAGATTAGAAATACATTTTTTTTTTTTTAAGGTAACTCTGTTGGCAAACGTTTTGCTTCGGAATAGATAAAATGTTTCGGTCAGACGTCCGCAAATCAAGCTTGATGGACACCAGAGTAATTTATTTTATTTACAGAAGCCAATTGTACGTGGACTATGACGTGCAGTTTGACCTGCAACATTTTCCTTGTCTTCTTCGTGTTACCGCCTTTTGTTTGACGTCAAACGTGAAAAATATTGAAAGATTGCGTGATTCGATTTTGAAATAGACATAAAATAAGTAAAGAATGTTTTTCTTTTTTTTTATATTTTGTACAAAAGATGCTTTATTGTCATGCTAAATGAAACACATTGGAATTGAATTGTTCAATACGAACACAGTTTTTATTTTGCATTATTCAGTGGTCGGTATATAAACAATCTGAGATATATAAAAACGTTTGGTAAAATAGAAAAATAGGGTACAAGATAGAAATGCGATGGTGTTTAACACATTGACTGCCACAGTAGAAATTAGACTTGTAGTAAGGCACATTAAAGCTCATTAACATTTTAATTGCCACAGTGGAAATGGTCATGTGTGATATGGCACAGCTTAATAACATTAAATCATTCATTATTAAGGGGACGTTCATTTTAGTCTGCAATTTAATTTTCCTGCTATGCAGAATATTCTTTTATCTTTTAATTATATGTTATCCAATCTATGACAGTCAATGTGTTAATAATTAACTGATTAATCAAATCGAACGCTTAATCATCATTTATGTATTAAGAGATTCGAAAGAACAGATATCTTAGCACTGCACGTACAATGCAGGAGATCGTTTCAATAACCATGTAATTGAGCATTTTTCTTGCTTATTTGCTCTTAATTGAATTAAGTACTAATATGTAAATTAATCTACTATCTTGAAGCTCTTTCGTGGAGATAATTTGTTGATTATTTAGTAAATCTTTGTGTTTCGAAGTTGAATTAACTTACGAAAGATATACCTATAATACGTAGACATGGGATTTCCTATCATGAAATGTCTTCTATTTTATATAAATATATTTTAGATTACCTTTTTTTGAATAAATTACCTTGTACGATTAATCTCTCGCGGCCTCATTCACTGAGTATTCGCTATGATTTTGTGCGTTTCGTAAAACGATTACGCATCGTTGCTTAAGAGTTAATTTATAATTACACTTTATCGTTAAAGTGTTTCTTAACACTTCGACTACCGTATCGACCATATCTGGATAACTCATCATTTTCAAATAAATCTGTCTGATTATAAATAAACTTGTTCGATACTCAAAATTAATAATGGTAGTCACGGTGTTAAAATATTCATTTTAAACCTTCATTTGATAAAATTCACTAATAAAATAATCAAAGAAAATATACGTTTCGAAGGTTGTTTCTGTACCTACTTTCTAAATCAGATTGTACATCTTTTGGAAACGTTTTTAGTAAGTCAAAATTGAATATAGAATACTGTGTCTGGAATTAATTACGATAATGTTGTCACTTGAATTACAATAAAATTGTTTAAGTAGATTCCTTAGAGTTATTTCGAGCAGTCTACGAGTAAGTACCTACACATTCTTCACGCGAAATGCACTTAGATTGAGCTAAATACGAGGAGTAGAAGAATTGTTTCTTTTCTTTTCTTTATAATTCTTATTTTTTCCACTTTCGTTAAAATTTCTCGATGTCTAGTTTTGATTTCTTTCTCCCTGGCGTGAAGAGGGCGAGCAGACCACTCACTGAAACACATTAATTAGAATTTTCGAATTTATTGTTGATAAATTATCCTAATGGAGTAAGGTATACAGTTATCGACCCCTAGATAATGATTGACCTTCTCCCTAATAAAAATGTAGAAAATATTATATAATAACTTTTAAAGAGACAGTGTAAAATTTAAAGAATGAAGATACTACGAAGCACGGAATTAAATTAGAATTGTGGTTCTCCCCATGGTCCACCGTCTTGAGAGTCCCTCCATGGTCCGCCGTCCGAGAGTTAAGAAATGCGTTATATTGTATTTCTTTTTTTAGTAGAGGCACCCGTACTTATCCGCGTACATATTCGCGTTTAGACAGATCTCTCCGGTTAACGCTGTATAAGGTGTGTGTCTACGTCTCATTTTAACATAACATCGTTCATGTGTGAACAGCTACCTCTGCCACGATCCTCGTGAAATTACGGTACAGGTAGTCCTCATTTTGCGACCGAGTTCCGTTTTGATGACTACGTCGTTAAGCAAATTGGTCGATAAGCGAGGAGCTTGCGTCGGGAATATATGTAGGATCGTTATAAAATTATAAAAATTATGCAACAACGAGATTACACAGTAACTGCTTGTCGGAATGAAACTGACTGAAAAAGTGCATAGCAAGCCTATAGTACGCTCACGAGTGCGCATGTCACCATTCGCTACTGACCGACACTCAAACTGAGAAAGGGGATTCCCCGAATTGCAGGTTATAGTAATACTTGTAGTAAGGCACATTAAAGCTCAATTGCCACAGTGGACATGGTCACGTGTGATATGGCACAGCTTAATAACATTAAATCATTAATTATTAAGAGGACGTTCATTTTAGTCTGCAATTTAATTTTCTCCCCATGGTCCACCGTCTTGAGAGTAAGCTGTTACCCTATCGAAACTTGATTGGTCGTAAAGGCTGGTTCAGACATGGCTAATAATTTAGTCGAGTGGCGAATAGCTACTTTCTACTAAACCGTTTAGCGCATAGAAAAGTGTCCGGACTAGTACAGTTGAACTTTGGAAATCGAGAGTACAAGATACAATGTGATTCTCTCGCTACGCAAGACAAAAACCGTGCCGCACAATCGAACCCTGCTGTTTTTGCGGATAAAGAGACCCAGGGGCCATATCGCCGGACCCAATACTGTTCTGTGTGTGTTTATGGTTGAGACGACAACAAGAAACGGAACAGCAGGGAGGGGTTCCATTGTGCAGCACGGCTTTTGTCTTACGTAGCGAGAGAATCACCCTGTATATACTCGACCAGAAAAATCCAATGAAACGGATCTACTCGACTAAACTGTAGTGTCCATACATAGCAAGTTACTATATTACTTGCCACTCGACTAAATTACTAGCCGTGTCTGAACCAGCCTTAAGTGCGAGTGGTCGTTAAGCAGATAGGTCGTAAAGTGAGGAGTACCTGTATACACAAAACCGTATTCTAAAGATCATCGCAGAAAAACACATTTAGCGATAATCCACCGCCAAACTCTACGAGGAACTTTACATCGAGCGCATCTGTCCTTATCTATTTAAAAAACCTCATTTTCCGCTATTCTGTTCCTGTTTCCTCAAACCAGCCTCTATGACTACAACTGTATTGCTTAGCGGATAAAAAAATCCTTTTTCCTCTGGACGCGTTCTCTCCACCTTTTAAACTTTTCCATTTTTTTCCCTTTAGGTCTTTCACGACCTCTACACTTCGATCCCTCTATAAGGGTGAGAGTACTATGCCTCAGTGACTCTTCTCTCGTCTTTCTGTACTCTGCTCCTTTTGAGGATAGTACACATAGTTTTCATGTTTTGGGGTTTTTTTTGAAAATTTTTCTCCTCTCCGCTAAACAAATTTTTCAATTCTTTCGGTAATTCCACATGCACCGCCGGTAAAGTGGCCCGCGATCTTGCCCCCAGGAACGGTTTTCCCTTACTCAGGAAACAAGCGAAAAAAGAACCAATTTCTTTTTTAGGATAAAGGTCAACAACTGTATGCGTTACCCTATCAAAACTTGAATTTTAATAGAATTTGAATACGTACAAAACAGTTGAGCAGCAACAATGACGATCACCAAAGTACAGTAATCATCAATCAAGTAACCGATCATCAAAGTACCACTTATAGCACCAATTCGACTAATAAACGCCGACAGACCGGAAGCCATTGCCCTAAAACACAAAAAGAAAAACAGCCAATAATTAAGCAAAGGATTTATCAAATCAATATTGATCTTTATTAATACCCAATCAGACACTGGTCAAACAAGATTAAAATCTTGAATATTTTTAATAAAATCCATTCTTGATCATTCATTTTGATAGGATGTTTTGACGATTGGCTATCATTAGAACGGAGACGAATATTTGATAAGAATTGCGAGATTCCTCTGATATTCGATAGAATATTTCAGACCGATCGATTGATTTATACAGGATTTGTTTGAACTAACGAAAGATAACCATGCCGGTTATAAATAACCGTACACGAGATAATAATTGTTCTATGTGGGTATTTATGTCGATTGATAAGAAGGTTAATCGATAAACACCTGGCCGTATAAAACAAGGTGGCACGAGGAAAAGAAATAAAAAGGAAAAAACAAGAAACGTGCCACAATATCAACAAGAAGATATTCTCTGAAGTGTTTCTTAATACGTTTTCTTTCGTAATAAAATTCAAGTATTGTTGTAGTTTGGTTATCAAAACCTTGAAGAATTAGATGAAACATCCATTTGCCAAGTTGATTAATTCCAAAAGAATAAAAAATAAAAAAATTGATGAAATATAAAAGGTTAAGCTATGACAGTAAAATTTCAACAGATTCAAATCTGGAAAGTGGGGTTAATCATTTTGGTATATGAACGGCTCAAATGGCTAATCTAACTCAGCCAATCCTGCGCATAGCAGATTCTGTCGAATTCCTGTTAGAAGATTTTGTAAACAGAATAGCTGCAGATTTGATGCAGGATGTGTTAAATTCAGCTATTGTAGCAGATTGGCGGCAGAAATGTTCCAAAACCTGCTAAAGCAGATTGGCGGCAGAAACCGAGCAGATCCTGCTAACATAACCTGTTGTCAAATTGGAGGCAGAAACAAAACAGAGTCTGTACGCATACTACATATGATGGCAGAAAGGCAGCAGAAACCGGGCAGATCCTGCAACTTCAGCCATTTAAATTTTAAAAGGAACAGTGAAGTTGCAGGATCTGCTCGGTTTCTACTGCCTTTCTGTGCGCAGGCTGTTTTCTTTCTCCCTCCAATTTGACAAAACAGGTTATGTTAGCAGGATCTGCTCGATTTCTGCCGCCAATCTGCTATATGATTCTGTCAGCAGGTTCTGTTTGCAGAAACCAAGCCAAATGCGGAAACAGATTCTATACAGATATCAGATTTGTAGACAGATTCTATCAGATCTGCTGCCAATCTGCATGGCAGATTGCTTCCTAGGAATCGTACTCCGTTCGAAATAAAATAATAATTACCTTAAATGCGTTGGATAAAGATCAACTAGCAGGCAGTATACAACGCTTAGACAAACGGAAGTAATAGATTCATAGGCACAGGAGAGAATTAAGTTTTGGGTGGAAGTTTGCACCAGGAAGAGACAGGCTGTCACTACCCCAGGTATAAAAGCTGTGATCACTGGAATATATAAAAAAAAAAAAGAAATTATTTCTATAGAAATACTCGCTTGATATTCATTTTTTGGTACTTCCTAATTACCTAAGAGGAATTTGTATCCCATATAATTAACTAGAACTGGTAATATGAGACCCGTTGGAATGCAAGAGGCTCCCAGAATAAATGTATGAACAAACACACTAGTCTGTACCCTTGAGTTGCAACCAAATGGGTCGTCAATCTCCTCCTGTAGATCAAATAAAAGAGCTATACTATTATAACAGAAATAGCATAACATATATATTAATTCTACCCATATTGACCCATGGTGCGCCCAAAAATTCATCTTTAAAAATACTTACAAGGTTGGTGCTATTCTTGGTGATCTTCAAAGTGCAAACACTGGCTGTCTGATTAGGATACGCTTGTTGAAAGTCTGCATATCTGTGAAACAGCTCTGGCAACCATAAAGTTAAAGTATAGTAAGCGGATGTGACGAAACAAGCGATCAGGCACACCACGATGGTTCTACAGAGAAACGGAGGCTTCAGTATCATCGCTGTTTTCGTGTATATGTCGCTTATCATCGAATCGAATGATTTCTCCGTCACTTCCTCCCTCTCGTTCGTGTGCATTATACGGTGCACCAGTTCGTTCAGATTATTATTACCACAATTTCGGAGTTTTGTCTGAAAATGAAATGTTTAGTGAATATTTTTAGCGGTGGCCTTCGAATTTCCAAATTGAAATTAAGTCTTGGAGAGAGGAGCCTGAGTCAATCGTGACCCAAAACTTATGAAATCTATCAAGAGTATTAATCTAAAATTAAATGTATGATTCTTAAACGAAAGGACGAATAATTTTTTAAGGAGTAGTGCAAAATTTAAAAAATGAAGACAATAGAAGACAGGTTTTCTCCATGGTCCGCCGTCCGAAGGTTAAATTTCAATTCTAAACCATACTGTAGTCAGTGCCAAAATGAAATATTGAATATTGCCTAATGAATAATTAACGAATAATAAATGTTGCAATGACAAATAATCACCTTGTACTCTTTTGGGGGCTGACCACTGTTCTCCGAGTACATTCTCATTAAAACGTGAAGCATCTGAACGTTATGACCAGTCTCGGCGAGATATTTCGGCGTTTCAGGGAAAAATAATAACCACGCTCCGGTAAATAACGCTGGAAGGGAACAGATGAAGACGAAAAGATTCCACGAGTGCAAAAAGAAACCAGCGATCTCGACGTTTACGTCCATTGGGATAATGATCCATCCGACACCTGAAATTTTTCCAATGATCATAATCTGTGATGGAGAAACTTATTCAAAAAAAATCTGCTGCTAAAATGGTACCTGCTAAAATGATCATTCCCATTACCCAGGCCATTTCCATCCAAGACAACATTTTGTCACGATATTTCGTTGGTTGAAATTCGCCCAGATATAGAAAAACAACAGCCGATTGTCCATTCATGCTAAAAAGTAATGAATGATCTCGTTACAGGGGATGTTTGATAAATAATTTTGGAACAGAAATTTCATGTTATACTCACGCGGCGCCGCTCATGAATTTTAAGAACAAAAAGAACCAATAGAAGGGCACCACCGATGCCAACAATTCTGAGATCCCGTGAAGAAATAAGGCGACCAACAAGGACATTCTTCGTCCTTTTATGGCCGCGTAGCAGCCCCATATATAAGAACCGGCTAGCATACCTGTAAATTGTAAGAAAAAACACAATGTTTATGCGAGAAAAATTAAGAAAAATATTAATTCTATATTCTTCAACAGACGGTTAAGTGAAAATGACTTTCAATCAATTGCAAAAGGATTAAATAGCATCGTGTTATTTAACGTCTCGTGCAGTGTTGTTGCCATTCGATTTGTACTATAAATTCCATTCGATGGTGTTTATGCAGAAACGTGATCAGAGAGGGGAGACGTGTCACGTTCTGACATAATGAAAAGCCTTCAAGGTTTAATTATTTGCATTCGAGCCGCTGACACTTGTAATAATCCTTTAATGCTTTTAATCGCGTCTTCAGTATTTCTCTTCGTTAACAACTGGATTGCTCTGTATGCAATTATATACAACCAATTAGTTATTCCATTAAGTATCATCGTCTCTTAATAACAGTGAGTTAATAACATTTGCATATCTTCATTTTTTATTTTATTTTTTTTTATTTTTTATATTATCACAGTTTAGATAAGAGACATTGAAAGTGGGCGTTGATAAAAGGAAATGGTAATGTATGCACAAGATAAGAGTACCTCTAATACAATTTTTTTTTATGAAAAAGAATGGTAAAAATTTAGCATCGAATATCGGCAGAAACGTGAGCAGATTTCCTTTTGAATCGAAACGAGGATCAATCGTCAACCAGTCGAAGCACGCGAGGAGAAAGCTAAGCGTGAATGCAAAATAATTCATAGTTTCACGGTGACTTTTACATAACTCGAAAGGAACGGGATTTCAGTATGTTTTGCCGGATCGAAGTAACACCATGCAACCAAACGCAATGGTGGAAGTTAGGTCGATATGGGGGCGTGTTAGTACCTCGCACGCAAGTAATTCCAATTCCCTTGAAAAATCCAACTTTTTCCATATCAAATTTCATCGTAAATGTCATCGTAAAATGTTTCTAACGTTATATTTTTTAACGTAAAAAAAAAAAAACAATTTACTCAGTCTTTTAAGTTGGTAGATTTTTGCTATTATCTCTGATAAGAATTCAAATGAACCGTAAAAACATAAAGTAGCTTAGAAAAAAGTAAGATATCACGGCAGTGTAAGAATAGAGGAGTTTTATAAGGTAGATAACGGTGCTAATTACAGAGGTTTAATTAAAATGATGATTACTAGGCTGTTACCTAACATAGGCGCTGCGCTTAGACGGCCCTTGTCCACTGTAGTCATTTTAAAGTCACATGCTGCCGATGGTAATACAAATCCTATGCTTGTTATACTGAATGCTACGTTCATGAAGATCAAACTGCAGACGGCCATAACCTTAAGGTTAAACTTGCCAAATCCTGTGAACAAATTCAGAATTCGTAATTGGCAGGATTCGTGAGTTTCAAGGTCACTTTTGTTGTTTCTCTTCATTAAAAAAGATTCTTTTTCCTCTTAAACGATTAAAACTCATGCACAGTTAAGAGTGTATCAGAGGATTCTGATGTAAGATAAGGAAACTTTAGCGAAGCCTAACGCAAACACGTTTGATTACATTTTACTGTGTTTCCTGTAGCGAAGATTTGGTGACAGACTTTTATCAGTCGATCGATGAAATATTGAATTTATTGAGAATTTTGAAGCCAAGGACCTCGAATAAAGTATAAAAATCAGAATATTGACCAAAATAATAAAGATTGAATTCTCAAAAAATTCCTCGGAATTTTAACAAAATCCAAAGCTAACTAACATCTATTTATTCACATTGATAAAATAGAAATTACCTGTTTGGTCGACTGCATCTTGGGCGACGCTTTCCGCCGTTTGTTTGTTGCCTGCGAACAGAGGAAAACACGTGGTTACGTTGCAAAGAAGCGACTACGGAAAGAATAAAAAATAAAGAAAAAGAAAAAGGGAGAGAAAGAGAAAAAGAGAGAAGCCATAACTGTACAGGCTGATGCGAAAGTTAAACCCGGCGCTTCTCAGATTGACGCTGTTTTATTCCGAGAACAAAAACATTCTTCGAACTGATCGGACGGCAACAAAAGTGATTCACAAGAACCTCGTCCCGAGGCTTTTCTTTCTTTATAAATCCGTTCGTTGTACTTTAACCTGTTATTGCTTTGCACCGATTCCAAGCGTTTCTTTGTTCTCTGACGCGGTAAAAGACACCTTTCAATCTTCTTCACACTGCAGTGGTGCATTCTGAACACGATTTTAATAGATCGCGATCAATTTTTAAATTTATGATATAACAACTTGATTTGACTCAATTTTTCATCACTTTCACTCATCGGTGTATCTTTTAATATTCAATTTTGATAGATCACAATCACTTTTCAAATTTGTAACACTTTATGATGATTCCAATTGTTTCCTGGATCTGTCTCACTTTTGAATCACTTTTTCGTTTTGATTTTCCTCAATTCAATTTTATTGCACTTTTGATTGATTTGAAACATTATGTTCCTTTTTTCTGAGTTTCGTTCGTTAAGATTGAGATATTAGGACAGTGTTTCTTTTTTTTTTTTTTTTTTTTTTATTATTGTTTGATTAGTTGAACATGATTCCGGAGCCTCGTTTGACTTTGTAATTGGCTAGGTCTATCTAAATTTTTTGCTCTTGCTTTCGAAACCAGTTTCTGAAAGTATCTGTGCGTTAATGCACTCTTTACTTGATCTTGAAACGTTAAGATCAAGTTTTGGATCGATCGGGTCAGATTTAAATCATTATCTAACCTTGTTAGTCTACTTTCCTGCATCAGTCTTGACACACTGAGATCAACTTTAGAATTAATTATACCAGTTTCTGTGTTCCCAATTTAGATCAATTGATTTTCGATTCATCGATGCTTCTCCAATCTCCCGCACTCGCGAGTCAAATGTTTTGGCACCATTTAACTATACCTTCAAAATTTTCCCTTTCCATATTATAAAATAATTCTACTTGAAATTTTCAAACAATTCAACACGCTCCTTCCTTAATAATTAAAATTTCATGATTTCATCAAATATTATAAAAAGTCATTCGTAAATAAAACTCATATCCCATTATCAATATACAAAAATTAACTGAAACCTTCATAAATCTTTTAGTTTCTAGAATAATCGTAACGCAAAGGGTTAACGTTCGCCGAACGATTATCTGCCCGACTATTAACTCCATCAAGCATTGCAATGAAAAGAAAAAAATGACGGAGAGGAATCGATTGAAAGATAAATCCATTGTTGGCAGACACGTGTACAGGAGGGCGTAAGCACGAGGATAAGAGAGCTTGATTACCTTGTAACGTGGAGACGGCATTTGCCGCGACTAGCGGCTCCGACGCAGCTGGCTCGCTCTCCAATCGAGCGATATCGCCCGACATCGTACGCGCGCGAAACTAACGCATCGTTGCGCGCCGCCGTCGTCGTCGTCGTCGTCGTCGTCGTCGTCGTCGTCGTTGATCTCACTGGTTCGTGCGAGTCTCACGCGCGCGGCCTTGCTTCCGAGCGTGTTTCGCTCGCCGCGAGTTCGTCTAACAGTCTAACCGACTGCGTCCGCCCCCTTGATCGCACTGCCACTACAAACTTACCGTTCTTCCACTCGCACTCTTTATCTGCCTCTCTGACGACCGTTTAACCGGCTTGTCGCAAGGTTTAGTTTAGTGGAACTGAAGCAGACTCCGATAAACTCTCTGCGTGGAGACTGATAGTCTAGTCGGGTATACTTCCGAAAGGCCCCATCACCCCAGGACAACCAAACTTCGGATTTATAGTAATTGAGGGACGAGAAATCGAATAATATCATTTTCGTGAACTGGCAAATAAATCGCTCTCGAGATATACAGGGTATTCTAAAAGTGCGGAAACCCCCTATTACCTCGATAAGAACGCATTTTCACGGAAAATGACTAACCTAACCTAGGTTAGGGTTAGGGCTAGGGCTAGGGTTAGGGTTAGGTTAGTCATTTTGCGTGGAAATGCGTTCTTATCAAGATAATAGGGGGTTTCCGCACTTTTAGAATACCCTGTATATCTCGAGAACGGTTTATTTACCAGTTCTGAAAATGGTCTCATTCGATTTCTCGTCCCTCAATTACTATAAATCCGAAGTTTGGTTGTCCTGGGGTGATGGGGCCTTTCGGAAGTTTCTCCGTCTAGTCTAGTGTAGAATCTAGAGTTCGATTGAATCAAGTACAATATAGAAATAGGATTTGTTAGAGAGTAATTGAGTCGAGTGGGCTCAGAATTTAGTAGAGTCTAGGTATTGAGTATAGTGGTCATAAAGTTTAGTAGAACTGAAGATAAAGTCTCTGCGTGGAGGCTGATAGTCTAGGCTTAGACATAGTAATGTAGTAATAGAATTTAGTATAGTCTAAGTGTTAAGTCTAGTAGACACAAAGTTTAGTAGAACTAAAGTAGAGTCCGACAATATCTCTGCGTGGAGACTGATAGTTTGATGTAGGATGAAATAAAACATAGAAATAGGGTTTGCTAGAGGGTAATAGAGTCGAGTGGGCTCAGAAATAGAGTAGTAGAATTTAGTAGGATCTAGGTATTCAGTCTAGTAGAGCCTAGAGATATCCTAATAGAGTCTGACAGAACCTTGATGTAGGGTCTAGTAGAGCAGTAATAGAGGCTAACACGAGCCAAATACAGAGTCTAAGTATAATTTAGTAGAGCCCAGATGTATAGTCTTGTAGAGACTACCAGAGTCTATCTCTTCTCCTGAAATAGATTTGAAAATGCTCTTCTAATAAAAATAGAACCAAGTAAAACCCAGTCAAGTCTACTAGAGTTTAGACGTAGAGTCTAGTAGAACGTAGACACAGTCTAGTAGCTTAGAACTGCTGAGTGGTCGGTTCTTATCAGAGGAGGATTAACTGAGATAAAAGAAGATTTCAAAGGTCCGATGAATAGTTAAAATCCTTTAGAATCTTATTGTTAGATTTTACTTGCGTCAGAGAACAGATATCCTTCATTAAAAAGAATTCATTGTTAGGTGGACCAGTTTCTTACAGGCCATCTCGAAAGATACAGATAAAATTCACGTGAGCAAATATTGTTCCTGTAGAAAATAAAAAACAATTTGATTGGTCATTACAAGTGTTTGTCAAGGTCGTCATAAGTTTCTTCCTCCCACTTTAAAATGCACATATATTAAATGAAGCGTTATCGTTAATTAACCTACAGATAACATGGGAATTTAATGTTCGATACAATGAAAATGGTTATTGAGAAACTTGTAATCAATTCGATTAAAGGCTGGAAAAGTTAAACTGGAAAGAGAAACAGATAATTACCACTCGAAGTTCAATGTTTATTTATATACACTTTCTCACATTAAATTAAATGAATTTCGTTACGTCATTCATTTTCATAATTATCAAAGTATTTTTCAGACTTTCTACTAAGATAACGTGCAGAGATACTTGATTCCACTTGTAAGTCTTAGATAAAGGTCGAAATAAAAAAACATCAAGAAACCAGTTCTTGCAGCTAAGAAAGAATGCATAATGAATAGTTTAGCTATGGGATATTCCACTAGTTAATGAAGAAAAGAAAAAAAAAAAGGAATTCCTACAAGTTTGTTCACTTGTGTAAGAAGTTAGAAAGTCATGCGTGGTGATTCGCAAAATTTCGCAACGCGGATGCGAGCCTCGAAGATAAAATGTGTCCAGGAAAGAACAATCTTATCCAATGATGCATGACACATCGTGGATTCGTTTAATTCGAATCAGAAAAAAACAATTTAACTGATTGCAGTATTTATTCAAAACAAAAATCTGTCTGTTAACGTAAGAAGCTAGTTTATGATCTAACAAATGATAAATTTTGCCTGTTCAAATTACACACGTGTGATTGGAACATTTTACAAATACATAAGCCGAGAAATCATTTGATAAATGTAAATCAGGGTAATTAGGAGAAGCCCACTTCAGGTTACAACTGTACCTTATCAATACTGATAACAGCAATTAAGCTGATAACCGTGGACAGATTCAATGAATTGTTGCTTCGTTTCTGAATAATACATCTGACGAAAATACACAGTTGATTTATTGATCTGTGTGTAATTTATAAACAAAGAATTCTGCAACTTTCAATTGCAGAATAATAATTTAATTGTAATTAAAGTGTTTGATATTCGAATTCCCAAAACAATGCAAACAAAGCAAAATATCAATGATATTTTCAATATCAAGTTGACGGATATATTTACGGTCTTTCCACGATGTTTTCGATGTTCAAAGGAAACGCAAGTTGCAAATATGTAGTATTTTTAAAGTCTCTTCGACCGAAATGCATTCGTGGTACTCTTTATTTCGCGACTGACTATTTTTATACACGTGTCGGCTTGTTAAATTAAAACGATGTCAAGATCACAAGAAAACAGCAGCTATTCTGCTGCCATGCCGGTTTTCACGAACAATGATTGTTCCTTGTTCCTTTATACCAGGTGGCAAAAGACACTCGTTCATCGTGTCGTTTTTTATTTTCCGTGGAATTTTGGAAATTGATAGATCCAATAAATCTATTGTTTCGTCGAAAAAGTATAACAAATTATAAAGAAACAAAGAAGTTAATTCTTTTTTTTAAATCAAATAATCAATCACATAGATTTGTTTTTTGTTTTCTGCTGAGTAACTGGAGAATTTTGGTATTCAAACATCAAATGTCATCTTTTTTTCTTTACAAAGTACCAAAAGACTAATAAAATTTTCCAAATTGTAACGTTGGAAGATTGAAAAGAAATATGAGTCTACTTGCAAGTTTGTCATTGTTTTTAAACAATCCAAAGTATAAATAAAATTTCTAACGAACGGCTGTTCATGGAACGTAAAACAAGTTTTCTACTGATAAGGCACATCGGTTCGAGTCTGTTTATTCTAGTTCATTTGCGAATTGTTATTGGTGGATAAATGCCAGCCGTATTATTATATCACACGATAATTCGTTTATTTGATGATAAAAAATGCTGACTGCTAATGATTCATTGACGACAACTGTATAAGGTCAACTATCAGCTTCTACAGGCTGAATCATTTCTAACAATGAAACATTATTCTATTGATATAACTCAATTTTTATATAATTTTCTTATAATAACCCTTGGAAAAGAATATTTTACAAGTGATCTTCATTGAATCAAGTTAATATAACTCTTGCATGGAGGACCATGGAGAGAACCATAACTTTGATTTAATTTTTTATTTCATATTACTGTCATTTTTTATATTTGACACTGTTCCTTTAATAGATAATGAGAATAATATGAAATATAAAGTGAAATTAAAATCGGTGCTCTCTCTATGGTCCGCGCCGTCCGAGGGTGAAATATTTTCCTATTGCAATGAGTACAGAGACCGTTAGTTACTTCATTATTCATTTAACTTTAAAAATTATATATTTAACTTTAGATTAATATCCTTGGATATGTTTTATAAGTTTGGATCAGGATTGACTCTGTCTCCGCCTTTCAATGGTTAATCGTATACATATAAAAAAAAAAATATAAATTATGAAATTTAAATCATGTATACAACACTGTTAATAGGAATCGAAACTTTGATAAACGTATTTTTATTTCTCTGTAACGGCATGTTATACATTATTATTATATAATAATTACCGATACATAAAACGAAAGGGGTTACTATATGTATGTAGATAGTGGACGTTCTTGTTTCAATTTCTGTCGGCAAGTAATGACAATCTATGATGTCATTTTTCTAGATTGCTCTAGTCCCAATATAAATTCTTAATTGATTGCTAAATGACAAATTGTTCAATCTGTTCAGGAGCTTTGATAACTATTGAAGGTTGAACACGATGAATCATTCTCATTTCTTAAGTTTCGATACGAGACCAGCGATTGTTCCTTAACAATTATACTTTAATTATAATTAAAATTATTTTCTGTAAGCATTATTAATCAGAAGCTTATTATCGCCGAAACAAAGGAAAGAAGAAAAGATTTGTAAATAATGCTAAAATAACAAAGAGCAGTTTATTAAGTAATAGGGATTGATAATTAAGGAAAAATATGAAAAATTAAAAATTTAGTATAAATTTCATAAAAGTAAGATAAATTTGCATTTTCTATTTCTACTTATAAAAAACAAAAATTGACACTTTTAAGAAATCTTAAAAATAAATATATTTATAAAGAAATCAATCAAAACTTACCCTGATCTTGAATATCCATTCAATCAATTAAAATCAGTTCTCCAAAGATAAACGCAGCATCCACTTCTTTCTTTCAAAGAACCTCCTGCTCTTCACACATCAACTTCCTCAATAACTAATAATTTTTTTTAAATAATTCACAAATTCATGCTAGACACGACAATATGAACAAAAGGTCTCCTATTAAAGAAGTCTCACACGGAAAGTTTAAAGTGGATAATAGAAGAGATCGTTCTCGAAAATTCAAGAAACCGTTGCACGATGACAAAGTAGACTGAGCTTCGAAATTAGACGGATTATCTCTATGTCGTTGTCCGAGCTTCAATGCTGAAGATGCATCGAGAGAAGCTTGCCAGAGCTGGCATCAACCACTCTCTGCACACGTGTACCGTAAATACAGCTAAGAAACCGATCGTCGAGCTTTTTACTCGCTCACTATCGGCAAATAAGTTGATTAAAAGAACAGAGAACAGATGCATTTTTTTCTCTTTTCTTCTTGGAAAGACGAACTTTCTTCCTTGGTGATCGTCTTTCATCGATATTTGAAAGAAAGAAACGAACCGATTAGGGTAATTCATGGTAATTTTTATAACTCTTTGAAGAGAGAAAAATAAGTGATTTAGATAATTAGGGGTGGTTGTTAAGGATAAGGGTAGATATAAAGGGATGGGTGGTTGAATTTTAGGGGATTAAGGGTAAATAAATTTTTAAAATTTAGTAATTTTCCCAAATATGTATTTGTAACATATCGACACCTGATATGAAATGCATTATAACTACATATGTAGTTTATGCTAGGTTTACAGGAGACCGATTTACAATTTTTGACTGTATTTTTTTACATCTACCGTTTGTCTCCGTTAGTGTAACAAGAACTTAAGTACGCAAGAATTAAATGTGCCAGAACTTTTTTCTTCTTCTTTTGAGTATTTTTACATGCTTCATATTTTCTGCAATTCAAAATATATCATTCTTAGGACCAAACTTCAGGGAATGTAGAATTACAACTTTTCATTTCCTAATTATAATAAGAGCATGGTTCTTAGACAAAAGAAACGATTTTTTTTTAAAATACATTTGTATCATAGATAGAAAACACCGTTACAAAAATTACAATGGTAATCATGTCAAGTGTCGATATGTTTGCGTAAAAGCTAAAAAAAAATAACATATAATTAAAAAATTATTAACAATGAATAATTGAAAAATGTACCGCTAGTTTTTTAAAAATCTGACAAACAGGCTTCGCCTCTTCTTCGCATCCCCGCCTCTATAAAAACTAACCTAACCCTATCTATCTTAACTTGATATCTATTTTGTAATCATAAATATAAAAAATAAAAAAGGGCCTGGGATTAGGTTTGGCTAGCTCAGAATGTTTTTAGGGGTGCGAGTGCAGGGGTCGGGATTCTGTCCCTCCTCCCTCCACGCACTGGTCTCCTAGCCCCTTTTTTATTTTTCACGGTTATGATTACAAACTACATATCAGGTTAAGTTAGGTTTAGTTAGGTTAGATTAGTTTTTTTAGAGGCGGTGCTGCGGGGCAGGGGCGATACCTATTGGCCGGTTTCAATACTAGAATATTTAACTAATGTGACAGCGCACTTCGTGCAGAGAAAATTCAGATTTTTAAAAAAATAGCGGTACATTTTTTAATTTTTCATTGCTAATAACTTTTTATTAAGCAATGACCGATGGTTAAGTTATAAGAAAAAAATTACTCAGGAAGGTGTCCCTTATAATATACGTATGTGAAGGTCAAGGTCATTGGAGCGGCGTCCCCTAAACAGGAGGTTTATCCAAATTTCAATAGATACATATAAGAATGAAGTCGATAAATAAATATAAAATTAAAAATTGTACAAAATAAATTTTACTAATAAGAATCAAAAAGAAATTGCTATATATCCGTACGCAAAAGTTATAAACAAATTAAATTCCAATAGATAAATAATAATTTAATAAATAGATAATTAAAAAATTAAAAATTGTTATATTATAAAAGAACATGAAATTCTGGTACAGGGAGCTAAGAGAAATTCATGCGGAACTATGGATGCTTCGCTGAGCACGGTGGTTCTAAAATATGGAGCAGGTTCAAATTTTGTCAGGCTTAGTGCGACCGCCGAGGAATGCGGATTTATCTGCCAAACATATACAGGTACGAGTCAATAATAAGATTATTAGAGCATCTGTATTTTATCTAGTGTGTTTATCATGGGATTGTGCATACTTATGGGGGTGTTTTATTATGTCTTATGGTGTAGTTCCCCATGTGTCTACATGTGTACTAGTGTATTCCCTTATGTGATGGGGCATGTGTATATATTAGTGTACTTTATGGTGTGATTATTTATGGGTTTTGGTATACTTTTGCAAATATTTTATAATGTGGTTACCTATGTGCTTTTACATAAGTTTACAAATCTTTTATGGGGTTTTATGGAGTGGTTTTCTATGTATTTAGACATAATTTTACAAATGTTTTATGGTGTGGTTTCCTACCTGTTTTAATGTAATTTTGCAAATGTTTTATAGTGTAGCTCTCTCCACCTGTTGTGACATAATTTTGCAAATGTTTTTTGATGTTTAACACTGCAGTTATTTATGGGTTTTACCTACCATTATTTTGGCTACATAAAGGACGAGGTACCCAATTTTGATTAGGCAACGGACCAATCATGGATCAATCTCCAACATGCTTGATGGGTGCAGTGGTGCAAGTCAACGATCGGTGAGTCGCATGCTTTATGATTCCTCCGGCCCGGTCCCCATTATGTCGTGGAACGAACGGTTCGAAACGTTAGGGGGACTGGTGGAATTTTTGTCTTTTAAGGGAGCATAGTGACTCACGAATATCAGTGCATCATTTTATACAATAATAATCGTATTAATTGCTTTTCTATTATGTTCTATTTATTAGCTCAGAATAGGGTTTTCTTGTACATCATAGAGAAGTCGGATGACCTTCCTACATTTTCATACTTCGATTTAACTTTAAATCATATACATACAAGAAATTACTTCGCGATGATCAAATATCTTTGATTATTTAGATTATTTATTTTGACATTGAAATCGCTCTTGATATTGAAACGTTCCTCAATTTTATTCATATTATTTTAGTGATATTCTTTCTTTTAAAGTTAGAAGAAAACTGATAGGTGAAAGTAACCATTGGCCTTGTTCATTTTTATGCCCAAAAATCATTCGGATACTTTTAGAGATGTATGTATGTATTCGTATGGGTGGAGGGCGATGGACAGGGTTTAATTTTAAGTATAATATATGTATTTTGGCGACGGACTAAAGTAGTGAACCATACACGATTTAAGGTCCATGTGTGTATGTGTGTGTGGGCCACAAAAGTGCCATTCGGGGCCTTGCAGCCAGCCCCAGCGGTGTCATGTGGTCCGGCCACCGGCTATTCCGGTGGCAAACGGGGCTCTGGCTATGGGCGAATAGCGCCTGGTGGGGGTAGTTGCTAACCCACTCAAGTTAGTTTGTTAAAGTAAAAGCGTCCTAGACAAAAATTCCTTACACGCCGAGAAAGAGTCAAGCGTTGGGTTTTTCCGCACCCGTGCAATGATTGGTCAGCCCAGGAGAGAATTTGTCCAACCCCGCGCCACTTGGTTGGATGGTGGCTACTGGGGGTGGACTTTTAGCGCAATTGCACCATTTAAAACCGCCGGTATAAGTGCAAACTTCGGAACGGCAAAGCGGGCTTTTAGCCCCACTAGGCTCACTTACACGATGATCTGTGTATGTGTGTGCGTGTGTGGTTAGGGACTTGTATCGTTTATTAACAGCATTAATTTACTATTAATATCACCATACAATTAGAAAATACTTGAAAATTTCTTACAACTCATACATATTATTATATATTAGATATTCAAAAGAATACAAAAATGAAATATGTTAATTTTTGATTTCAACAAAAAGGTATGTTTTTATTAGAGTGTGAATGTTGAATTGAACTCGGCTGACGGTGGCGTTCTCCGTAGGTTTAAGCTAATTTTCATCCGGCTAATATGTGTGAGAACCGTAGAGTGCATTTTTGTGAAAATGATTTTTGCAACTTTTTAAATATAGCAATAGCCAGGCAGGTAGTTTACTTCTGGTGTGATTGAGTTTAGTTTATAAGTAGGTAGGGCCAGAATAAGCTTTCATATTTCTCTTCGTATTCTCGTCGAATACGTGAGAAGCTTGGGGGAAACTAACCTTGGTTAGGGTTAGGATTAGGTTAGTCATTTTGAGTGGAAATGCGTTCTTATCAAGATAATAGAGGGTTTCCGCACTTTTAGAATACCCTGTATATCTCGAGAACGGTTTATTTACCAGTTCTGAAAATGGTCTCATTCGATTTCTCGTCCCTCAATTACTATAAATCCGAAGTTTGGTTGTCCTGGGGTGATGGAGCCTTTCGGAAATATACCCGAAGCTTGTATCTGGGGTTAGAAAACGCAAATGCAAATTAATTAATTAATTTAACATTCTCTCTTTTGATTTTTCGTAAGACCAAGCCTTAGTTTATAAGTCGCAGTCGTGGTATTAGACCCGATTGCAAAAATGAAGTATTAAAGTGCAGTGAAGTAAAATTAAACTTAATTTGTACTTGCTTCTTTTTACGAAGCAGATAAAATTTTCGCGAGTGTTTTTTTTTAGGCTATTGCTGAGGAAAGAAGAATCTATACGCTGAAGAGCCCCGGCAAAATTTGTCACAGAAGAGAGGAACTATCAATGGCTTTCCATCTTCGGATGGAGAGTCATTTTAATATCACTATGCTTGCTAATTTGTTTTCTTTTCTTTTTTTTTGTATGTTTTTTACAGCTTTTTTTTAAATAGTATGTAAAATACCCTCAAGTACATATTAAGCTCGAAATTGTACGAGTTTAATATCTACCAAGCTTCTGTTGAATTATCGAATTCGAATTTTATTTCCCTTTTTTTTTCAATTTATTATTTTAGTTTAGAGAATTATTATTTTTTTGTTTTCGCATATAAATCATATCTTGAGTTCTCATTTCGTTGCCCGCAGAAAGTCGTCAGCGATCGAATTTACGTCTTACTCCTGCACAAGTTATTATGCAGCTATTATAAGCTTATTTTTAATTCCACATTGAAATAAGTCGCATCTTATGGACAGCGACTAAGTCGCCTAAAACGTTCTTTCTTTTAATTTATGGATCAATTGGTATTTTTCTTTTATACAAGAATATAAAATATCTTGTTCGAACATTTTCATGATCAGTCAATTTAACTTTAAATTCTTGTTGCTTTTCGTTGTATTTGAACAAATTACTTCTTTCTTACTGATTTTTTATATTGATTATATTTCCCTTTCAAATGTGTTCAATATGTTTCAATATTATACTGTGCTTAAATTCTTATTT